GTTCTGTAGTTTTCAGAGTATAGATCTTTTACCTCTTTGGTTAGGTTTATTCCTAGGTAGCTTATGGTTTTTGGTGCACTTGTAAATGGGATTGATTTCTTGATTTCTCTTTCTGCTGCTTCATTAATGGTGTATAGAAACACAACAGATTTTTGTACATTGATTTTGTATCCTGCAACTTTACTGAATTTGTGTATCAGTTCTAGCAATTTTTTTGGTGGAGTCTTTTGGGTTTTCTATATAGAGTATCATGTCATCTGCGAATAGTGAAGTCTGACTTCTTCCTTACCAATTTGGATGCCTTTTATTTCTTTGTGTTGTCTGATTGCTGTGGCTAGGACTTCCAGTACTATGTTAAATAATAGTGGAGAGAGTGGACATCCCTGTTTTGTTCCTGACTGTAGAGGAAAAGCTCTCCTTTTTTTCCCATTAAGGATGATATTAGCTGTGGGGTCTTTCATATGTGGCCTTTATTATGTGAGGTATGTTTCCTCTAACCCTACTTTGTTAAGGGTTTTTATCATGAGTAGATGTTGCACTTTGTCAAATGCTTTTTCTGTTATCTATTGAAAGGTCTTATCCTTTCTTTTATAAAAGTGCTATATCACATTGATTGACTTGTGAATATTGAACCACCCTTGCAGCCCAGGAATAAATCCCACTTGATTGTGGTGAATGATTCTTTTAATGTACTGTTGGATTCAATTTGCTAGGATTTTATTGACAATTTTTGCATCCATGTTCATCAGGGATATTGGCCTGTAGTTCTCTTTTTTAGTGGAGTCTTTATCTGATTTTGGTATCAAGGTAATGCTGGATTCATAGAATGAATTTGGAAGTTTTCCTTCCTTTCCTATTTTTTGGAATAGAGAAGAATATGTATTAACTCGTCTTTAAATGTCTGGTAGAGTTCATCTCTGAAGACATCTGGTCTTGGACTTTTGTTTGTTGGGAGTTTTTGGATAATTGATTCAACTTCTTCGCTGATTGTTCAAGTTTTCTATTTCTTCCTGTTTCAGTTTTAGTAATTTATATGTTTCTAGGAATTTACCGTTTCTTCCAGGTTGTCTAATTTGTTGGCATATAGTTTTTCATAGTATTCTCTTATAATTGTTTGTATTTCTGTGGTTATTTCTCTTCTCTTATTTGTGATTTTATTTATTTGAGTCCTTTGTCATTTCTTTTTGATAAGTCTGGCTAGGGGTTTATCAACTTTATTGATTTTTTCAAAGAACCAACTCATGGTTTCATTGATCTGTTCTATTGTCTTTTTTAGTTTCTGTATCATTTAGTTCTGCTCTATTCTTTATTATTCCCTTCCTTCTGCTGGTTTTAGGTTTTTGTTGTTGTTGTTCTTTTTCCTTACACCCTTTAGGTGTAAGGTTAGGTTGTTTATTTGAGATTTTTCTTACTTCTTGAGGTACGCCTGTACTTGCTATAAACTTCCCTCTTAGGACCACCACTTTTGCTGCATCCAACAGTTTTGAACTGATGTGTTTTCATTTTCATTTGTTTCCCTGTATTTTTTTATTATGTTTTGTCACCATACAGTACACCATTAGTTTTTGATGTAGTGTTCCATAATTCATTGTTTGTGTATAACACCCAGTGCTCCATGCAGTACTGCCCTCCTTAAGACCCATCACTGGGCTAACCCATCCCCCGACTCCCCTCCCCTCTAAAACCCTCAGTTTGTTTCTTGGAGTCCATAGTCTCTCATGGTTAGTCTCCCCCTCTGAATCCCCCCGTTCATTTTTCCCTTCCTTCTCCTAATGTCCTCCATGCCATTCCTTATGTTCCACAAATAAGTGAAACCATATGATAATTGATTTTCTCTGCTTGACTTATTTCACTCAGCACAATCTCCTCCAGTTCCATCCATCTTGATGCAGAAGTTGGGTATTCATCCTTTCTGATGTCTGAGTAATGTTCCATCGTATATATGGACCACATCTTTATCCATTCGTCTGTTGAAGGGCGTCTCAGCTCTTCCCTGTATTTTTTATTTCTTCTTTTAGTTCCTGGTTGACCCATTCATTGTTTAGTAGCATGTTATTTAACTTCCATGTATTTATGGTTTTTCTAGATTTTTTCTTGTGATTGACATCTAGTTTCATAGCGTTGTGGTCAGAAAAGATGGATGGTATGACTTCAGTCTTTTTGAATTTGTTGAGGCTTGTTTCATAGCTTAATATGTGATCTGTTCTGGAGAATGTTCCATGTACACTTGAAAAGAATGTGTATTTTGGGGATGGAATGTTCTGTTAAAACCATTTGTTCCAGTGTGCCATCCAAAGCCATTGTTGTTGATTTTCTATTTAGAATTTCTGTCCATTGATGTAAGTGGAGCATTAAAGCCCCCAACTATTATTGTATTATTTATCAGTTAGCTCCTTTATGTTTGTCATTAACTGTTTTATATTTAGGTGTTCCCATGTTGGGGGCATAGATGTTTACAATTGTTAGATCTTCTTATTGGATAGTCCCCTTTATAATGACATAGTGCCCTTAATCTCTTGTTACAGTCTTTGGTTCAAAATATAGTTTATCTGATACAGATAGCTACTCTGTCTTTCTTTTGATGTCCATTTGCATGATAAATGATAAATGTTTCTTCATCCCCTCACTTTCAAGTTGCAGGTGTCTTTAGGTCTAAAATGAGTCTCTTATAGGCAGCATATAGATGGGTCTTGTTTTCTTATCCATTCTGACACTCTGTGTCTTTTGATTGGAGCATTTAATCCATTTACATTCAGAGTAATTATTGATAGATTTGTATTTAGTGCCATTTTATTACTTGTTTTGTCATTGTTTCTGGAGATTTTCTCTGTTCCTTTTTGTCTTTGTCACTTTTGGTCTTTCCTTTCCACTCAAAGAGTCCCCTTTAATATTTCTTGCATGGGTGGTTTAGTGGTCATGAACTCCTTTAGTTTTTGTTTGTCTTAGAAACTCTTTATCTTTCCTTCTATTCTGAATGATAGTCTTGCTATCATTGGGTAGAGTATTCTTGGCTATAGATTTTTCTCATTTAGCACATTGAATATCATGCCACTCTCTTCTGGCTTGCCAACTTTCTGTTGAGAGATCTACAGATAGCCTTATGGGTCTTTCCTTGTAATTTAGGGACTTCTTTTGTCTTGCTGCTTTAGGATTTTTTCTTTATCATATATTTTGCAAATTTAATTACAATGTATCTTGATGTTGGCCTACTTTTGTTGATTTTGATGGGCGTTCTCTGTGCCTCCTGGATCCGGAAGTCTGTTTCCTTCTCCAGATTAGGGAAGTTTTCGGCTATTATTTCCTCAAATAAATTTTCTGCCCTCTTTTCTCTCTCTTCTTCTTCTGGGACTCCTATGACATGAATGTAATTACATTTGATGGAGTCCCTGAGTTCTCTAAGTCTATTCTCATGATCCATAATTCTTCCTCTCTTTTGTTCTGCTTCCTTATTTTCCATAATTTTATCTTCTATTTCACTAATTTGTACCTCTGCTTCTTCCAGCCTGTGTTCATTACATCCGGTCTGTTTCCAATCTGTTATTGCATTTTTCATTTGACTGTTTTTTTTTAACTCTTTTATCTCTGTATTAAGGGCCTCCCTAAAGTTTTCCATTCTTCTCTCTAGCCCAGTAAGTATCCTTATGATTGTTGCTTTAAATTCTCCATCAGGCATATTACTTATATTTGTTTCAGTTAGATCTCTGACCATGACCTTATCTTGTTGCTTCATTTGGGATGAATTCCTCCATCTTGGCATTTTGTCTAAGTCTCTGTCTTTTGCTGTGTGTTCGAAAAGCCTGTTATGTGTCCTGGTTTTGAGAGTAATGGCTTTTTGAAGAAGTGGTCAAGTAGTATCCAGGGCCTGGCACTTCAGGTGTGTGCTGTGTGCACTCTGCTGCTGTGTTTTGGCTGCTCTGTCCTTCAGGCCAGTTGTCTGCAGAGGTTCTCCTTGCCTGCATTGGGCAGTGTTTGATCCTTGGCCAGAGTCGGTGAGTTTTAACTAGGTGTGCTCTGCTGTGCTTGTTAAATGAGACCTGATACTACTTCCACTAGAACTGAAGCCTCGCAGAACTCTGGCTGGGAGACGTGGTGTGGACAGGGGTTTCTGCTGGTCTTCTGGGGAAGGGGCCCGCCGCACTGGCCCTGAGACACACTTGTTCAAGAAGGGCAGTCCCAGCAGAGCACAGGGGTTTGGGGCCTGGTGTAAGCAGGTCAGGCAGCCAGTGTCGGTACTGTACTGTTAACTGCAAGTGGCTTTGCGTTTATGCTGAGGGGCAGGGGGAGGAGAAGGCACCCGCCAGCTCTTTTGTCCCTGGAGAGGCAACTCTGCAAATGCCACCTCTCACAGATGCTCTCTAAGAGAGCGAACTGTCTCCGCATGTCACCTGGGCATTCCTCAGATGATGCCGTCTGCCCCCCACCCCCAGGCTGCTTGCTTGCCTTCCCTCCAGGAGTAGGGCAGTGCCTCAGGTCTCTGTACCAGCCAAGCCTGCCAACCTTTAAAACTCCAGTCTTCAAGACCCACGGGTTGCAAAAACTCATGAAAATCAACCCCTCTCATTTTCCCAGCAAATGGCTGTGGGGAAGTGTTCTCTGTGTGCATTCCCCTGAACCCTCCTTTTTCTCTCACCTTTGTCCGAGACCAGGGCTCCCTCCCCTCCACAACACCCACGATCCTCTCCCCCACACCATGTCTCTGCACTTACTTGTTGTGGCCCCTTCTCTCCCTCTAGTTGTGCAGTTTGCTCTGTCCATCCTCAGTTGATTTCTTGGGTATTCAGAGTGATTTGATAATGATCTAGTTGTGTTTGAGGGATGACGAGCCTGTAGAGTTCTCCTACTACACCTCCATCTTAATAAATATTTTTTTAAAGAATAACAATTAAAAATAGTCATTGTTGGAAAAAGTAAAAAATAAATAAAAACAGAATTACGAAGACGCAAACACCTTTTCTCAAATATTATGCTCAGTTATTGTTCCTTTCCTCCCAATCTCATAGCTATACCCTTGCTGGTCCTGACACCATTGAATGCCTGGCCAATGGCAAATGGAATGGAAGTAACCAGCAGTGTCTGGCTGTCTCCTGTGATGAGCCCCCCAACGTGGAACACGCCTCTCCGGAGACTGCCCATCGGTTATTTGGAGACATTGCCTTCTACTATTGCTCAGATGGTTACAGCCTGGCAGACAATTCCCAGCTCTTTTGCAATGCCCAGGGCAAGTGGGTTCCCCCAGAGGGTCAGGCCATGCCCCGTTGTATAGCTCATTTCTGTGAAAAACCCCCATCTGTTTCCTATAGCATTTTAGAATCTGTGAGCAAAGCAAAATTTGCAGCAGGGTCAGTCGTGAGCTTTAAATGCACAGAAGGTTTTGTACTGAACACCTCAGCAAAGATTGAATGTTTGAGAGGTGGGCAGTGGAACCCTTCCCCCATGTCCATCCAGTGTATCCCCGTGCGGTGCGGAGAGCCACCAAGCATCATGAATGGCTATGCAAGTGGATCAAACTACAGTTTTGGGGCCATGGTGGCTTACAGCTGCAACAAGGGGTTCTACATCAAAGGGGAGAAGAAGAGAACCTGCGAAGCCACAGGACAGTGGAGTAGCCCCACACCCACATGCCACCCTGTGTCTTGCAATGAACCGCCTAAGGTGGAGAATGGCTTTCTGGAGGTAAGAGACTAATGAGTGAGTGGCCCGTGGCTTTCATCACTGACAGCCAGCCCCCTGTGGCTAACCTGGAATTCAGAAGCAGGACACTGAACAGATTAACTGTTGAAAAACACAAGTGGCTAGACCTATAGGTAGTGAATATTGGAGAGAAGTTGATAGAGATCAGTAATCCTTTTAATGTATAGCTTTCTACCTTCTGCTGGCATGTAGACATTTGAAGTGCTTTGCAGCAATACCTTAGCCCTAACTATGAAGTTAGAATGAGCCAATTTTTCATATAATATTGTTTTTCTTTGTAGAAGAAGTTATTCCAAGATGGATGTATATTTTATAGAAATCAAGGTCTAATGGAACTTAGAGAGATCTAGTATCATTTCTAATTTTTAGACAAAAGATGAGGTGAATCATCCATTCACTATAATGCAGTTATTACAGTTCTCTGTCAGTGGACCTAAAGGTAGTTTCACCAGGACAAAGGGTTCTATCAGATCCACACATATTTTCCTTTCACATTAGTATGTGCCTAATCTATTTCCCCAAATCAAGGGCTATTTTAAAAAGACAATATTCTAATTAAACATTATGTAAAAACCCACACATACATAATACCTTTTCTCCTTTATATTCTAAAACAACAGTAAACACCTTCTGTTTAACGCCTTTGCTCCAATGTAGTAGTGTTCCATTGGAAGAGAGTATATATAGATAAGGAGGCTTTCTTCATTTAACAAATATCTCTGAAGCTCTTACTAGGTGCCAGGTAAGCATTGGAGAGCTAGTATTTAACAATACAGATTAGGTCTGTGATGGCGTGGCGCTTACATGTGTGTGGGGTACCCAAGAAATAATAAGTAAACAAAACAAAGAGTTACATCCACTAGAGCAAGAAGTTCACTATAGCAGGCAAGCTAGACTTTTTACCGTGATAATCTTTTGAACATTTGCATAACTAACTCATCTTTGGTAGTGCCTAAAAATGACCTGTAATCATATTAGTCACTTATTTATTTAAGTGTTGAGATCATGAATATTAACTTTTGCTTTAAAAGATAAAATAATTTCCCATCTTTATAGCAGCAATTTTAAAAGTATGTTAAGAATGAACACAAAACTTTGTACTCTTAGGAATATAATATTTTATTTGCTTTTTTTGACAACATTAACAAATGTAGGTTGTATGCGTATGTTTCCTTCTCTGTGGTTAAAGCAACAAACGAGAGCATTGCTTTGGTGAGCAAGATGTTTTTGAACTTACTAAGTAATTTATAATTTGGGGGAGTAGTCTACCAAATCATCAATTTAAAACTATTGATCTTTTACTTATTATAGGCTCAGCCTTTTGGTAAGCATTTCTGCAATAGGGATTACCTAATTTGACCTGTCCTTTTCACTTACTAAAAATAGAATAGACCTGATTGAAAAAAACATAAATCTTTATTTGCTTATGTCTTAACTGATTTGTTTTAACATAGGCATTTTAGTCTATTTTTTTATTACTATTCAATGTATTTAGTTAATTATATTATTTGTTATACGAATTATACTTAAGTGTTTTCTCCCTATTATACAGCATACAACTGGCAGGATCTTTGAGAGTGAAGCGAGATATCGGTGTAATCCAGGCTATAAGTCAGTTGGAAGTCCTGTATTTGTCTGTCAAGCCAATCGCCACTGGCACAGTGAATCCCCTCTGTCATGCGTCCCTCTCAACTGTGGAAAACCTCCCCCGATCCAGAACGGCTACATGAAAGGAGAAAATTTTGAAGTAGGGTCCAAGGTTCAGTTTTTCTGTAATGAGGGTTATGAGCTTATCGGTGATAATTCTTGGACGTGCCAGAAATCTGGCAAATGGAATAAGAAGCCAAACCAGAAATGTGTGCCTGCCAAGTGCCCAGAGCCTCCCCTTTTGGAAAACCAGCTCGTCCTGAAGGAGTTAGCTACTGAAGTAGGAGTGGTGACATTTTCTTGTAAAGAAGGACATGCCCTTCAGGGGCCCTCTGTCCTGAAATGCTTGCCATCACAGCAATGGAATGATTCTTTTCCTCTTTGTAAGATGGTTCTTTGCCTCCCACCTCCCCTCATTTCCTTTGGTGTCCCCGCTCCTTCTTCAGCTCTTCATTTTGGAAGTACTGTCAAGTATTCTTGCGTGGATGGATTTTTCCTGAGAGGGGATCCTACCACCTCCTGCCAAGCTGATGGGACATGGAGTTTTCCACTGCCAGAATGTGTCCCCGTGGAATGTCCCCACCCTGAGGAAATTCTCAATGGCATCATCGATGTACAAGGTCTTGCCTATCTCAGCACAGCTCTCTATACCTGCAAGCCCGGCTTTGAGCTGGTGGGAAATACTACCATCCTTTGTGGAGAAAATGGTCACTGGCTTGGAGGAAAACCCACCTGTAAACCCATTGAGTGCCCAATGCCCAAGGAGATTTCAAATGGCAAATTCTCTTACACGAACCTACACTATGGGCAAACCATTACATACTCCTGTGACCGAGGCTTCAGGCTGGAAGGTCCCAAAGCCTTGACTTGTTTAGAGACAGGCGATTGGGATATGGATGTTCCATCATGCAGTGCCATCCACTGTAATCCCCCACAACCCATTGAAAATGGTTTTGTAGAAGGCGCAGATTACAGCTACGGGGCCATGATCATCTACAGCTGCTTACCTGGGTTCCAGGTAGCTGGTCATGCCATGCAGACCTGTGAAGAGTCAGGATGGTCAAGCTTCATACCAACATGTGTACCCATAGACTGTGGTCTCCCGCCTCATATTGATTTTGGAGAATGTACTAAGGTGAAAGATGGTCAGGGATATTTTGGAGAAGAAGAAGATATGATGGAAGTTCCATATCTGACTCCTCGCCCTCCTCACCATCTGACAGCAGGGGCTAAAACCGGGGAAGGCACAAAAGGATCTCCTACTGCACATTCAGCAAACTTTCTATATGGCACCATTGTTTCATACACCTGTAATCCAGGATATGAGCTTTTAGGGAGCCCTGTGCTGTTGTGCCAGGAAGATGGCACTTGGAATGGCAGTGCCCCATCCTGCATTTCAATTGAGTGCGACTTGCCCATTGCTCCTGAAAATGGCTTTTTGCATTTTACAGAGACGACCATGGGCAATGCTGTACAGTATAGCTGCAAACTTGGACACGTTCTGCTGGGCTCCGACATAAGATTTTGTCTACAGAACAAAGAATGGAGTGGTGTTTCTCCAAGGTGTGAGGCCATTTCGTGCAAAGCGCCAAATCCACTTATGAATGGCTCCATCAAAGGAAGCAACTACACATACCTGAGTGTGTTGTACTATGAGTGTAATCCTGGGTATGTGTTGAATGGCCCCAAGAGGAGAACGTGCCAACAAAATAAAAATTGGGATGAGAATGAGCCAATTTGTGTTCCTGTGGACTGTGGGTCACCTCCAGTCTCAGCCAATGGCCAGGTGAAAGGAAATGAATATACATTCCAAAAAGAGGTTGAGTACACCTGCAATGTCGGGTTCTTACTTGAGGGAGCCAGGAGTCGCGTCTGTCTTGCCGACGGAAGTTGGAATGGAACCACTCCCATCTGTGTGCCCATCAGATGTGCCACCCCACCGCAGGTGGCGAATGGAGTGATGGATGGCCTGGACTATGGCTTTGGAAAGGAAGTGGTGTTCCACTGTCAGGATGGCTACATGTTGCATGGTGATCCAAAACTCACCTGTCAGTCCGATGGCAACTGGGATGCAGAGTTTCCTTTCTGTAAACCAGTCAACTGCGGCCCTCCTAAAGAACGTCCCCATGGCTTTTCTAATGGCTTCTCCTTTTATCACGGGGGGCATATACAATATCAGTGCTTTCCTGGCTATAAGCTCCATGGAAGTCCTTCAAGAAGGTGTCTTTCCAATGGTTCCTGGAGTGGCAGCCCGCCTTCCTGCCTGCTTTGCAGGTGTGCCACGCCAGTGATTCAAAATGGAGCTGCCAATGGGACAGATTTTGGCTGCGGGAAGGCAGCCCAGATTCAGTGCTTCAAAGGCTTCAAGCTCCACGGAGCTTCTGAGATCACCTGTGAAGCCAATGGCCAATGGAGCTCTGGCTTCCCATACTGTGAACACGCTTCTTGTGGTTCCCCCCCAACGATACCAAATGCATTCATCAGTGCGAGCGGCTCTTGGGAGGAAAATGTGATAACTTACAAATGCAGATCTGGGTTTGTCCTACAAGGCAGTTCAGATCTGGTTTGTACAGAGAAAGGGACGTGGAGCCAGCCTTATCCAGTCTGTGAGCCCTTGTCCTGTGGACCCCCACCATCTGTCGCCAATGCAGTGGCCAATGGAGAGGCACACACTTTTGAAAGTAAAGTGAAACTCAGGTAAGACCATGACTCTAGTGTCTCCAAAGGGTGCAGACAGGAGGATTGTAAAATAAAAAGTGCTAGGTCAAGAATTAAGTTAAGTGGGAAAATACCATCTCTGGACTGCTCTCCAAAAACTGAAGCTTTTATTTATTTTTTTATTTTTTTTAAGATTTTATTTATTTATTTGAGAGAGAGAATGAGAGAGAGAGAGCATGAGAGGGAGGAGGGTCAGAGGGAGAAGCAGACTCCCTGCCGAGCAGGGAGCCGGATGCGGGACTCGATCCCGGGACTCGAGGATCATGACCTGAGCCGAAGGCAGTCGCTTAACCAACTGAGCCACCCAGGCGCCCTATAGCAAGATATCTTAAGTAGACTTCCAACCTATGCTATTTGAACAAACTAAACTATTTGATGCACAAATGGTGACTTTTTGCTGTAAAGTTATCTATAATACATTATTAAAAAGAAATAAGAGAATATGGAATAAATTTATAAGTTAAATTTTTATTGGAATAAATGCCCATAAGATATCTCAACCCTCTAAATCAATTTAGATTTTATTCACGTCTCTGAAGGAATTATGGATTATCCTTCACATATTGGCTTCTTAGATTTTAATAATTCAGTTACTCTTCGGGGCGCCTGGGTGGCTCAGTTGGTTAGGCGACTGCCTTCGGCTCAGGTCATGATCCTAGAGTCCCGGGATTGAGTCCCACGTCGGGCTCCCTGCTCAGCGGGGAGTCTGCTTCTCCCTCTGACCCTCCCCCTCTCATGCTCTCTCATTCTCACTCTCAAATAAATAAATAAAATCTAAAAAAAAAAAAAAAAAAAAAAATTCAGTTACTCTTCTTAAACATGTCTATGGTGAACATCTTAGCCCTACCTTCATTTTCTCCTAATTTCAGTAAGGAGGAGACCCAAGGGAGTATCATCAGTGATAAGAAATGATAAGAAATGAAGGGTAGTTGATCATGCACTGAGAAGAAAAACAAAAATTATCCCTTGCTTTTGAAATACATCTTCAGTTTTCTCTTCAGATGTTGATATGTGACATATCTTGAGAAATCACAGTATCACCTGCTTCTCAAGAGCTCCCCATTTGTTATGCCGTGTCATATATTGATTATGTTTCAGATCTTTACTTGTAGTAAACAGATTACAAGTTTACAAAACCTGTGACTCCTACCTAGCCTGGTGATTTGTGAAATTGAAAAAATATATCCACCTAATAAATGTTAATTAGCTAAATGGTTTAATTTAAAAGGCAGTGTAGTATAGTAGTGAAAGCGTGGATTCTAGAACCAGACTCCCTAGGCAGGAATCTCATCTCTATTACTTGCTGGGGAAGTTATTTAGTGTCTCTGATGTCAGTTTCATCATCTGCTAAATGGGAATAAAGATAATACTCATACTTGCTCATAGGGTTCACATGAGAATTAAATGAATTAATATTTGTAGAACACTTAGAACAGTGACTAGAATTTAATAAGTGCTATGTAAACATTTGCTGAATAAATAAATGCAAATTTAAAAAAATCATAGAGTATTTTAGAGCCAGGTTGATTTGAGTTTGAACACCAATACTGTTGTTACATAATAGTATCTACTACTCAGGATTAAAAGAAATACCCTATATAAAGGACTTAGAACAGTGCTTGGCATAAAGTAGATTCTCAATAAATATTAATTGTCATATTCTTACTAGTATCTGAGTCTGTTTTGTGCTTTGTCTAGAATTTTTTGAACTATTAGCTATTTTCAGAATAAAAGTGAATTCAATATTGATATTATCCACAACAAGGGTAAATAATGCCAACAACATTTAAATCAACTTTAGGCTTGGCTAATCCTTAATGTGGACAGCATTTGTTATGTTGGTGTTTTTGCACGGCAATGCCGTTCCCTTGACATTCAAATCAGTTTCAATATATCACATAAAATGTCTACTGAGCTTTGTAACAGCATCTTAAATCCAAGAATAAGTCACCAACTGTATTGTACTCTCTTTAAGGCACTTATTTTGCTTTTCCATTGTAGGTGTCTGGAAGGTTATGTGATGGATACAGATATAGATACATTCACCTGCCAGAAAGATGGTCACTGGTTTCCCGAGAGAATCTTCTGCAGCCCTAAAAAATGTCCTCTTCCAGCAAATATAACACATATACGTGTTCATGGGGATGATTTCAGTGTGAATAAGCAAGTTTCTGTGTCATGTGCAGAAGGGTATATCTATGAGGGAGTTAACATATCAACGTGTCAGGTAAGATTCTCTGTCCTAGAACGTGTATGTGTAACTCATTTATATATATTAAATGTGTGTGTGTGTGTCTACAGCAGTATCTGACTATCCTGAAAAGAAAAAAATGTCTCAAGTTTCCAACTGTGTCAAGAATTTGAGGAGTTTTTTGGTAGATATATTGTAAAACATAGCTTTCTTTTTAATATTCCCATTTTTAAACTAAGAAAATGCCAAGAGTAGGTGAAAAGTGCCAAAGTGAGATAAAATGTTAAAATATCTATAACAAAATATTCATGAAAAATTAACCATAAGACAGATGGTCTACACATAAATGTAGTAAAGAGTGTCCTTGTGTGGGAAATGAGCCCTGTCTGATAGCAAATGTTTCCAGTTTTAGTAGAAAAACCAGAGGTTGCAGAAACAGACAGTAACTTAGATCAAATCCTGTCTCTGCTACCTACTACTTGTGTGACTTTAAGAAAGCCACTTAAAATGTCTGAGCTTCAGTCTCCTTATTTAAAAAAATGTGTATAACAATATATGTCTTGTATGGTCAGAATGAGAAACTAGAGAGTAAACGGGGGAAAATGCCTAGATCAGCACCATAGAGAGCAGATATCCCTAGCACACCCTCTTCACCAGAAAGAAAAATAAAATGAGTTATCGATATATTCTTCTGTTGCTGGAGTTGGGGGAGGGAGGAGCTGAAAGGGGGGACAGGCTGCATGGTATAGAAATGACTTTTACCTTAAACATTCCTTTGAACTCCATCGCTAATATTGACAGGCTCTGTGACGACCTAATTCCCCCCCTTTATTTGTAAATCTGTAACTGGAAGAATGAAATTATTTAATGTTTATAAAGCATCTAGTACATACCTGACATTTAGTAGGGACTCAAGAACTATTTCATAGTCCTCCCGGTTTTCCATTTATAAATCATGCATACTCAGTGATTCATTGCTACCAAACCTAAAAAGAGGAACATCGCAGGAAGCAGGTCAGATGACTGTCAGAGTTACTGCACTCTCAAAATTGGTATCATTCCAGATGGTCCCTTCTAGATTTAGAGCTGAAGCAGTTTGAGGGACAGCTTTTTCAAGGACCCTGAGCTGTTTGAAATAAACTTACAGGAAGTTTGTCCTGTAGGGACACGCTCAGGGAATTAATTCAACGTTCCTCCAGAGCTTGTCTGGGTTGGGTGTGTGGACAACTGGGTGCTCCTCCGTGTGCCCTGTAGGACCCTGACGTATTGGTGACTATGGGTTTGGTTTATTTTTGGAGTCGATAATTTATTTTTGACAACCCTCATTGCTTTCTCCACATAAGGTATGACCCCTCACACAAACCCCACACAAATGAGTTTTGGGTTGAATTCTGTTCTAAAAGGTAGAATAGACCTTTTCTAAGTGCTTAAATGCAGGAATTGTCTAAAACTATGTTCAGTGCCTAGAAATATTTTATTTTGATACAACAAAACGATTCTGTACTTCATAGAACAAATAAATGGATGAGAAGATCAATATGAATTTTGAAGAATGAATACTGAAGGAGTTCTGGCCCTTCCTGAAATTAAGACATATTACAGAATTACAAAGGTCCTATCAGTGTGGTTTGGTATAGATTCAGCAGACAGGAAAATGAGGGGAATGGAGGAAATAAATCAAAAGTACATCCTGATAAAGGAATCATCACAAATGGGAGAAAGGAATCATTAGTAAACAAATTATTCTGATATAGTGAAGTAACCATTACAGGAAAAAACTAAAATATGCCAAAACAGTTCCAGGATATATCAAAAGAAACCAATACCACATAGTTTTTAAAAGTTAATAGTAATGCCCAGAATAATTTATGTAGAAAGATATGTTTATTGAAGCATTATTCACAGTATTGAAAAATTAGATGCAACTTATATTTCCGACATTAGGGGAGTGGTTAATTATGAGGCAGACACATATATAAAATTAATTCTCCCTCAAATGTGGAATAAATGTCCTGTTTTATTTTATTTTTTAATTTTTTTAAAAGATTTTATTTATTTATTTGACAGAGAGAGAGAGTTAGCGAGAGCAGGAACACAAGCGGGGGAGTGGGAGAGGGAGAAGCAGGCTTCCTGCCGAGCAGGGAGTCCTGATGCGGGGCTCGATCCCAGGACCCTGGGATCATGACCTGAGCTGAAGGTAGACGCTTAACGACTGAGCCACCCAGGCACCCCGCCATAAATGTCCTGTTTTAGACTGTTATCCAGCTCATGCACCATTTCCTCAAAGAAAACAGAAAATTATTAGTAAGAGAATAATAGTCTTCAAGAGAAACATCTGGGTATGCCTCACTTCACACAAATAGATGATGAAAGATGTTAACTCTGAGTGGGGCGGGGGGCGGGGGGAGCAGTAAAGTGAAATGTAAGGACACATTAGTATCAGTCATGGAATATTTGTGTCAACCTTCCAGTCCTCCTTCATCGTAATGAAAACATACTTCTTGGTGTTCTTGATTTTTTTAATGGATTCTATTAGGAACAAAATATTTGTTTTATGTGTGTGAGAAATGTCTAAAATTGTTCAGCAGTAACTGAGAAGGCCATCTAATAATTAGTCTCTGTTTTTTTAAGGCCACAGGTAATACATATCAGAAGTAGAACCAAATTCTAGGTTCTTTTGGCCATCATTTTGGGGATTATTCTTCTATGCCAATATTTGCCAATTTCTTCATTCATATGTATTAACTCCTAAATGTAATTTCTTTTTTTTTTTAAGATTTTATTTATTTATTTGAGAGACAGAGAGAGAGAGAGCATGAGAGGGGGGAGGGCCAGAGGGGGAAGCAGACTCCCCACCGAGCAGGGAGCCTGATGTGGGACTCGATCCCAGGACTCCAGGATCATGACCTGAGCCTAAGGCACACGCTTAAGCAACTTACCCAGGCAGGCACCCCTAAATGTAATTTCTAATCTGTCATTTGTTATTTAGCTTGATGGCACCTGGGAGCCACCATTTTCTGATGAGTCCTGCAGTCCAGTTTCTTGTGGAAAACCTGAAAGTCCAGAACATGGGTTTGTGTTTGGCAGTAAATACAGTTTTGAAAGCACAATTATTTATCAGTGTGAACCTGGCTATGAATTAGAGGTAAGTGAATAAGTTGGTTAACTAGAATTAATTTGTTTTTCCAATATACTTGGGAACATTTTTAGTATTAACACCAATTTGTTTCACTGATTTTGGCCCTAAAAGATTTTTTAAACTTTGTTACTGTATATCCTAACACTCTCCAAGAAATATTTAAAGTGACTTATAATTTTAAAAAACAAAGTAAGTCTCAAATTCAAAAAATCAGAGCCATGAAAAAGAAGAGGAAGCTGGAATACTAGCCACAAGACTGATACTGTTACTTTAGTTGGTCATTTAAGCCTGTGTTTTGGCCTCCTGTTAATCCTGCTGTATAACAGGGCAGTCCATCTGTCACTGTGGGGAGAAGACCATAGGGATTTAGGTATACAAACTAAGACTTCCTCAAGCAATGGGTTTAAATACCTTGGAGGGTTCTTGGTTGAGATGCCAGGTTGATGTATGACAAGTGTGGCCTGAAAATCCTCAGAGCAGTTCTAACCAAATACCAAGTTAGGTTTCAAGACCACTCCTGGTCTGTAGTATTAAAACCCCATCAGCAACACCTGTGTCTCCCTATTTACTTTGGTGGGAAGGCTGCAGTTGATTTTTTTTAAGTTGTTTTTTTTTTTTAAATCACCCAGTGCTCATCATGATGAATGCCCTCCTTAATCCCCATCACCTATTTCACCCATCCCCCCACCGACCTCCCCTCTGATAACCATCAGTTTGTTCTCCATAGTTAAGAGTCTCTTTCTCGGTTTGTTTCTCTCTCTTTCTCTTTTCCCCTTTGTTCGCTTGTTTTGTTTCTTAAATTCTGCACATGAGTAAAATCATATGGTATTTGTCTTTCTCTGACTGACTTATTTCACTTAGCATCCATGTCATTCCATCCATGTCATTGCAAATGGCAAGATTTCATTCTTTTTATGGCTGAGTAATATTCCATTGTAATATATACCACATCTTCTTTATCCATTCATCAGTTGATGGACACTTAGGCTACTTCCATATCTTGGCTACTGTAAATAATGCTGCAGTAAATGTAGGGGGGCATATACCCCCTTAAATTAGTGTTCTTGTATTCTTTGGGTAAATACCCAGTAGTGTGATAGCTGGATCGTAGGGTAGTTCTACTTTCAACTTTTTGAGGAACCTCCATAATGTCTTCCACAGTGACTGCACTAGTTTGCCTTTCCACCAACAGTGCAAGAGGGTTCCTTATTCTCCACATACTCACCAATACTTGTTGTTTCTTGTGTTTTTTATTTTAGCTATTCTGACAGGTGTGACATGATATCTCATTGTAGTTTTGATTTGCATTTCCCTGGTGGTGAGTGATATTGAACATCTTTTCATGTGTCTGTTAGCCATCTGTATGTCTTCTATGGAGAAATGTCTGTTCATGTCTTCTGCCCATTTTTAATTGAATTATTTGTTTTTTGGGTGTTGAGTTCTTTATATATTTTGGATACTAACCCTTTATCAGGCATGTCATTTCAAATATCTTCTCCCATTCCATAGGTTGCCTTTTAGTTTTGTTGATTGTTTCCTTCACTGTACAGAAGCTTTTTTTTAAGATTTTTATTTTTAAGTACTCTCTGCATCCAACATTTTTCATAATATCCTGATTGTTTATATTTCTGTGGTGTTGGTTATTATTTCTCTTCTCTCATTTATGATTTTATTTATTTCAGTCCTTTCTCTTTTCTTTTTTGATAAGTCTGGTTAGGGTTTTTTTTCTGATGTAAGTATTGCTACTCTGGCTTTCTTTTGACATCCAGGTGCATGATAGATGTTTCTCCATCTCCTTACTTTCAATCTGCAGGTGTCTTTAGGTCTAAAATGAGTCTCTTGTAGGCAGTTTATAGATGGGTCTTGGTTTTTCATCCATTCTGTCACCCTCTGTCTTGTGATTGGAGCATTTAGTCCATTTACATTCAAAATAATTATTGATGGATATGTATTTATTGCCATTTTATTACTTGTTTTGTGGCTGTTTCTGAAGTTTTTCTCTGATTCTTTCTTATCTAATTCTCTCATGTTTTGCTGATTTTCTTTAGCAATACATCTGGATTTCTTTCTCTTCATTCTGTGCATATTTATTAGTGGTTTTTGATTTGTGGTTACCATTAGGTTTGTATATAACATCTTCTGCATATAGCAGTCTAAATTAAGTTGATAGATATTTAAGTTTGAACCCATTCTTTCCTCCTCACCTCCCCACATTTTAGGTATTGGTGTCATATTTTACATCCTTTTATTTTGTGAGTTCCTTGATTGATTTTTTACAAAAATATTCATTTTTATTGCTTTGTATTTCCTACCTTCATTATGTCATTTTTGGTCTATCCTTTCCACCCAAAGAGTCCCTTTAATATTTCTTGCAGGGCTGGTTTAATGGTCATGAAATCCTTTAGTTTTTGTTTGTCTGGGAAACTCTTTATCTCTCCTTCTATTCTGAGTGATAGCCTTACTGGATAGAGTATTCTCGGCTATAGATTTTTCTCATTTAGCACTTTGAATATATCTTAAAACTCCCTTCTGGCTTGGAATGTTTCTGCTAAAAAATCCACTGATAGCCATATAGGGTTTCCTTTGTATGTAACTGTCTTCTTTTGTCTTGCTGCTTTTAATATTTTTCTTTCTCACTATATTTTGCCATTTTAGTCACAATGTGTCTTGGTGTAGATCTGCTTTTGCTGATTTTGTTGGGGGTTCTCTGTGCCTCCTGGATCTGGATATCTGTTTCTGTCCCCAGATTTAGGAAAGTTCTCAGCTATAACTTCTTCAAATAAATACTCTACCCCCTTTTCTCTCTCTTCTTCTGGGACTCCAATAATATTTGGAGTATTAATATTAGTATAATGTTATGCTAATAATACCATAATATTATTATGTTTGATGTAGTCACTGAGTTCCCTAAATCTGTTCTCATATTGCATGATTTTTTTTTCTCTTTATTGTTCAGCTTGATTACTTTCCATTACTCTGTCTTCTGTGTCATTATTTCTTTCCTCTTCTTCCAGCTTGCTGTTACTTCTGTTAAGTATGTTGCTTATTTTGTTTATTGAGCCCTTTATCTCTGCTACGTTATTCCTTATCTCTGTGTTAATTGTCTCACTGATGTCCTCCATTCTTTTGTGAAGTCTGGTGAGTATCCTTATGATCATTGCTTTAAATTCTCCATCAGGCATGTTACTTATATCTGTTTTGCCTAGATCTTTGGATGTGGCCTTGTCCCATTCTTTCATTTGGGACAAAATCCTCTGTCTTCTCATTTTATCTAACTCTCTGTGCCTGTTTCTCTGTGTTAAGAATGCTATGTTTCTTATTCTTGAGGGTAATGGCTTTATGAAGAAGAGGTCCTATAGTGCCCTGCAGTGTAGTGTCCCTTGTTCCCCAGGGCCTGGTGATTCTGAGAGTGTCTCCAATGTGTGTTGCATGTGCTCTGCTTTTGTGTCCTGGCTGCTTTATCCTTCAGGCCAGTGGTCTGCAGAGGTTCTCTTTGCCAGTTGTGGACAGTGTTTGTCTCTGGCCTAAATGTGGCACATTTAACTAGGTGTGCTCTGGTCTGCTTGTGAAATGAGACCTATCACCACCACCACCAGAACTGAGGCCTTGCAAAACTCCCAGGTCAGGAGGTGCAGTGTTGGCAAGGGTTTAGGCTGGTCTTCTGGAGTAGGGAGCCCACTGCACTGGGACTGAGGCAAGTGTGACTGGGAAGGAGGGTTCTTCTGGAGTGCGGGATGGCAGCATTGGTATAAGTAAGTTAGGTGGTGAGTGTTGACACTGCACTGGTTTCTGCAGGTAGCCCTGTGCTTCTGCTGAGGGGGGCGAGGAATGGTGCCTGCCAGTTCCTTTGTTCCCAGAGGGGTCTCTCCATCAATGCTGCCTCTCTGAGACACACTCTGAGATGAGCAACTAACCTCCCCACTGCGTGCCCCAGGCATTCTTCAGATCACTATGTCCATGCTGTATGTCTGGGGATGTTTGCCTGCCTTCTCTCTAAGAACAACTCCAAAGTCCTCCAAGCTCTTCCAGAGCCAAACACACTGATCTTTAAAACTCTAGGCTTTGAACCCACCAGAACTTATGAAATTCAGGCCCTCTTGCTTTCCAAGCCAATTGTTATGGGGATTCATCCTCCCCATGTGCTCCCCTGTGTGCTAGTCTCTCTCTCACTCTTCTCTGCTACTGCAGCTCCCTCCCCACTGCAGTGGCCATAGTCTTTTTCTCTCCCAAAATGCATCTCTGCACTCCCTACCTTCTTCATTGTGGCCTCTTCTCTACCTTTAGTTATGGAGTTTGTTCTGCCAGTGTTCAAGTTGACTTGAGGGGTATTTAGTATGATTTGATAGTTATCTAGTTGTATTTGTGGGATGAGGTGAATCTAGGGTCCTCTTACTCCACTGCCATCCTCCCCTCCTATCTGGAGTCAATTTTGCTGAAGCATTGATCATATCATCAAACTTCAAATTTAAGAGGCTTGCTTATATTTCCTAATGTCATCATCTGGTTTTTCTGGAAACTTCTTCCTGTTTTTATTGTAGTAGTGGTATTTAAATGTGGGTTTTGCAGAAGTATTCATTGCCAATTATTTGTTAAATTTGCATAGTACATTCCATAATTTTTTGACCATGCATTCAGAGAATTGTCATAAGATAGGTCCATGAAATTTGGAACTAAACTTATGTGGATCTTTTTTCATTTCCTTAGAAGATTTTTAAAAAAGAAAAAAAGTATGATAATGTTATGGTTGATTGCATTTGGAGAGTTTTTCTGGTTTTGAAATTAATTTTTTAATGTGAGAATACTAATCTTGCAATTTGTTAAGAAGTAAAGTGGTATAAAATTTAAACTTATGAATTTAAATTTAATATTTAGTAACTAGATGGGTCATTAAGTTTGAGGAAGTAGATGATTTACCTTAAAAAATTTGGGGAATATCCCAGTGTTAACTACAAAATTGAGAGACGTGCTATAGCAATAGTTCTCATTCTAAGCTACCTGTTAGAAACTTTTAAGAAATAGTAATGTCTAGTTACTTGCAGAAATAACCAATGCCAGGTGTGGGATGTGAAATGTAAAAGATTAGCCTAGAAAAGCTTGTCGTGTGAGATATTAGGGAACCTATTAAAGACTACATGTTAAAAAGACTTGGAGGCCAACTGGATGAGGTTCCCACAGGCCAACACGAGACCATTTGGGCTTCAATAAGGCAATAACTTTAATGGACTAAACACATCAAATCTGTTACGAGTAACAGTAGACTCATAAGGACACAGAAAATCAGTTGGTAACTATTAGAGGATGTTCATGAACAAATTCATTATTTTGAAAACAGACCATGAAATGGGAAGAATTGTCTTTTCCATGCTAACTGGATGACAAGAAAACCAGTAGAAAATGAATGGAAGTTTCCTTTATAGAAGTATTTCAGTCAATAATTGATAGAATTTAAATCTCAGAGTTTGCAACTCTTATGAACTAGTTGATTTAGGTCATCATCATCATGGCTACTGGTGTTAGGAAAAAAAGAGGCAACCAGATATTATGTGCCTCTGGATGGAAAAACACACCATATGAAAAAGTCTTGCCAAAAAGAAGAAAAGATGAGTTTGAATCCTATCAAACCTCTAAATCTGACTACCAGTACCAAAGACAGAAGTACTTGGTAAGAGATACCATAATGCAGCCATCAGCAAAATTCTGTCTGTAGAAGTAGCTACAGAACAACTGACCCAGTTTTCCAGTTTCTGAAACAAATAAATTAACAGGGTAAGAGGGGAAGAAATAGAAGGAACCTATGTTTTAAAGAGGTACATAAACCATGTAGACCTTATTTTAGTCCGGATTCAAGTGAACCATAAAGCAATAAGTTATAAAGTTTATACAACAATTAGAAATTTGACCACTAACAGGATTGTTATTAATATTAAGGAATTACTTTTTAAGCTGTGATACTATTATTGGTTATTGTTGTTATAGTTTTAAGAGCCCGCATCTTTTAGAGATTAGTACTGAAATAATTACTGGTAAATGATTTGATGTCTGGGATTTGCTTCAAAATAAGGTGCATTCATAGGAAGGAGGTAGGGCTTAGATGAAACAAGGTTGGCCTTGAATTAATTGTATAAGGTGGGTGATGGCTATATCAAAGTTTGTTACTTTTCTTTCTACTGTTATATTTTGCATGTGTTTGAGTTCTTCTCCAAGCTTTAAATTCCTTATCTGCTATGAAGTAATAAAATAAAATTTTATACTATATGTTTAAAAAGATTAGGTTCTAAGTAATGTATTAAGGGGCTTGATTCTAAGTCAACATATGCACACAGATTTTGTTACCTGTTTCATTGCTCAGAGCCCTTTGGATATCAAATTATCTTGAAGCTGTATTCTGCCTTAGCAAGATGTCTGACAAAGAGCTATTGCCTCTCTTTTGGTTTTACCTAATGTCTTTCATCATTCTTCTTCTTCTTTTTTTTTTTAGATTTTATTTATTTGAGAGAGAGAGACAGAAATAGTGAGATAGAGAGCACAAGTGGGGAGGAGAGGGAGAAGCAGGCTCCCCACAGAGCAGGGAGCCCAATATGGGACTTGATCCCAGGACCCTGGGATCATGACCTGAGCCGAAGGCAGATGCTTAACCGACTGAGCCACCCAGACGCCCACATCATTATTCTTCTATTCAAAGATATTTTCTTTGAGCTATCAGTCTACTGATAAATCTTTACCTGTAAAGTTCCATTGACTTTATTCTATTTTTTTATTTTTAAAGATTCTGTTGATTTTAATAGAGGGTTATTATCCTGACTTCCTATGAAAAATTGAATCAATTAAGTAAACAGGTCTTTTAATATAAAGTCATTATTTTTTTCTTATTGAAAAAAGCAATATGTGTTGATTATAGAAAGGTTGGAAAATGCAAAAGAAAAGTAGTTTTTCAGTATTCTTCATCCAGAGGTAAATACTGTTAACATTTGCTATACTTTTACTATGTTTATATACTTATGTATGCACAGGAAAATGTACTATTTTAGTTTGTGAATTATTTTTTATTAATTTTGAGGAAGTATATGACAAGCCATTAAAGCCAGCTCCCTGACTATTTAGGAACACTGATGATTGTAGTAAAAGGTAAACAACAAAGAAGGAAGAAACAAAGACTCATAAAAATTATATCCAGAAGTCAAAGAATAGTAATCTTAGCACATATATACCTATAATAACTATAGGGGTCCAACAGCCTATATAGCCATCAAGGGTTATGGGCTATTGAAGAATGTACAAAAATATATTCAGAATAATAATTATAAATAATTTTTCAAGTAAATTCTATTCATTTTGCTTTATTTCAGAAGGTAGGGAAGTAAAGTTTAGAAAGATTTTTACTCCAAATATTTAAAATTTTAAATGCTTGGGCCCTTAATAGGGTAAGTTTATCTTTAATGGATAGGTTACATTGTCAAAAAATTCAATTCTCAAACCAGTAAGATATTTTGACTTGTTTCATGTTTGAAGGTGTAAAAAAACCAATTCCCATTCTTTGCTGTACCTCTCAGGTATTGAAAAGTAAATTCAATTCAAAATATTTTTAAAATTTACTCAGCAAATATACTTCCTTGACATTTCACACGCATTCCTTATCAACCTTTGCTATTGGTTATAATCAGTTGTCACTTAAATAGAAAGTGAAACAAAGTCTGTCCTTTAATTACACTGGTCAGCCTGGGTATGAATTTTGAAGTAAATTGGTGAAAGCATTTTTGAAAGTGTAAGCCTCATCCTTAAACCATATTTATTTAATGAATTCATTTAGCATTCCAGTGCTGGGAGATTCAGGTTCATAGCTAAGATTATTTTGCATTCCCTTATTGTCTTTTCATCATTGAGGTATAATCCTGGCAATAACCTTTTTTTTTTCATTGATTCACAGGGGAACAAGGAACGTGTTTGTCAGAAGAACAGAATGTGGAGTGGAGAGGTAGCAAGCTGCAAAAGTAAGTCACATGACATTCAGCAGTCCCAAAGACAATACTGATGATGCATAATAACAGTGTGGCCACATTTCCTTTACAAATCAGTGTTTCAATTAAAAAATATTTTTTTAATCATCTCCACGAACTGTGTGAGACTCTTTGATGGGCTTTCACTCAAGGGCACCAAATCAACAAAAGGGTCAAAAATTGTAGTAGAGATTAATGGTTAAAGTGGCATAGAGCACAAGATTACCGACTCCAGAATGGCAAACATTTTGTTAGAAATTATTTAACTATTGAATTTATTTGTCTCATTTTGTGGATTTTCCCCCCCAAATAATTATAAATTAGAAGGTTTAGCATTGTCCCTTTTTGGTGATGGTACTAGCCAATACTGACATTTTTTTAAAGTGATGTCACATCTGTCAAGTAAATGAATAGTGGTGGAATTTTGCATTAACTCATTTTATGAGAACATCCAAGTTTATTTAGCAAGAGATGAGTTAATTCACATGAGTTTATTCCCAACACATGGCCCATATGATTCCTCTGCCAGAGACAATATATAGTCGACCCCATAAACAACTCAGGTTTGAACTGGGCATATCAGCTTACATATGGGGGTTTTTTCAATAAATACAAGTACAGTACTAGAAACTTATTTTCTCTTCCTTATGATTTTCTTAATAATGTTTTCTTTTCTCTGGCTTACTTTATTGTGAGAATACAGTATATAATACATATAACATTCAAAATATGTGTTAATCAACTGTTTATGTCAACAGGCTCTTCATTAGTTAAGTTTCAGGGGTGTCAAAAATTATATGTGGATTTTTGACAGCATGGGATGTTGGCACTCCCCATCCCCACGTTGTCCAAGGGTCAACTACAGTTAGATAAAATAGTACAAGCCTATCAAAGTGGCAGGCTTTAAACCTTTTTCTCTTGATAATCCTGGGGGAGTCATCAAATTTTCAAACTAGTATTAACCTCTTAGATTATCTAGTTAAGCAATCTCTTAGATGAGTCAGCTGGTCTAGACTGGACTAAGTCAAGATCAGCTAGATTTATTTATCTTCCTAAATAAGTATATGGGGGACGAGGAGAAGTGAAATGACCTGCCCAATATCATAAATTAAATTAATGGCAAAGCTGACAGTAGGACTCAAGGTATGCAAATCTTTGTTCACTGTGATTTTAACCATATCTTCTGGGGTAGATTAATGATTTGATTTTATATATACAGGAATCTTAAATTCTTAAAGGAATATTATGTGGCTGAAACTCAGTGGAGAATATATGACTGTTTTTAGTTCTCAAAAACTTGTATAAATATTATACAGAAAAATATTTTTTAAAAGCATTGAGTAACATCTCAAGTCACAGAAAGGCATCATTGGGTATTTCTGATAGTAGCTTTTTTTTTTATCTCAGATGTTCATGATCAAAAAATGTATGAACGTATCTGGGAAGGAGAGTGGGAAATGAAAAGGATACATGTATGTCTGGCATAGGAACCCACCATAGTGTTGGTGAGGGGACTGTTTCAGTTCTGTGGCAGGTTTCATTCAAACTGCAATGATGATGGTTTGTATAGTTGGTCTCTCCAAAATGCAGGATAGTAATAAAAAGTTCTATATGAATCCTATTATTTTTTTAAAGATTTATTTATTTATTTGAGAGAGAATGAGAGAGCAGGCGCATGAGCAGGAATCACAGAGGAAGAAGGAGAGACAATCTCCAGCAGGTTCCATGCTGAGCACGGAGCCCAGCGCAGGACACGATCTCATGACCCTGAGATCACGACCGGAGCCAAAAGCAGGAGTTGGATGTTCAACCAACTGTGCCACCCAGGCACCCCTATATAAATCCTATTCTTTATCTGTGGGGTTTTTTCTTTTTCTTTCTAAGTTATCAAATAAAATATATTGATATCTGTATCTATCAGTTTTCAGGGAAGTCTGTTCACTGATAGATACAGATCTCAATATATGTAATAATTTAGTAAATTATATAGGAATCTTTCAAATCAGGTTGCTCAGTATGAGCACTTCTGCCCCCAGAAATATTTGTATTTTTCATATGCCCCAGGGAAAAAGCATATAATAAAATATATAAAAATATTAACAGTTTTATCCCTGTGGTGGAATTAAAACTATTATTTTCTTTTTGCTTATTTGTGTTTTCTAATTTTCTACAAAGAACTTGTACCATGTATTTAGTAATTTAGAAAGAGAAAGAAAAAATCCCACAAAGACTAGGATTTGCATTTTCACAAAATCCCTAGATGATTTCTTTTTTTTTTAAGATTTTATTTATTTATTTGAGAGAGAGAGAGTGGGGTGAAGGGTAGAGGGAGAAGCAGACTCCCTGCTGAGCAGGGAGCCTGATGCGGGACTCCATCCTGGGATTCCAGGATCATGACTTGAGCCAAAGGCAGACCCCCAACCAACCGAGCCACCCAGGTGCCCTCCGTAGATGATTTCTATGCACATTAGTTTGGAAGCACTGCCTTAGACCTATGGCTTTTAGCCTTAGGCACATTGGAGCATCCTACGGAGCTTTGAAAAATCCCTTGCCCAGATAAATCAGTTAAGTCAAATCTCTGGGGGTGGGACCCCACATCAATATGTTTTTAAAGCTCCCAGGTAATTCCAAGATCCATGGTCCCGGTGTATGGAGTACTCACCAAGCTGGATGAAGCCCAGAGGAGTCGGTTAGCACCTAATCCACCAGCTCTCAACCCTGAGTGACCATTAGAAATCCTATGGGGAGCTTTTAATACCAAAAGTTAGGTCACAACACAGAGATTGTGATTCATGTGGTCTGAGATAGGGCTTGTTCATTTATACCCCCAGCATTATTAACAACAAAAGGTGGCAATATACATAAAGATAGCTAGAGTCAACAGGCAAAATACCAATCTTTAATTGCCTACATGCATAAATCAAAACTTATACATGCTGGGTTTTTTTCCTCCTTCAAAGCATATTTTTGTGTTTCACATAGGAGTAGGCTTTAATATTTTATATGGTGCACTGAGTACCTTTAGCAATTGTAGGAGGATTGGAAGAAGCATTTAATACGAGGCTTTCGTTTTTCTTTCTAGAGACCAGGTGTGAAGCTCCACTTGGGTTTCTGAACGGAGAAGCCAAGGTTGCAAACACTACTGCTGGACCGATGGTGGTGTATTCCTGCAATAGAGGGTACAGCCTCGAAGGGGCCCCTGAGGCATACTGCACTGAACACGGGGCTTGGAGCTACCCACTTCCTCTCTGCAAACGTGTGTGTTGACTCTAGAGGTTTTCATGAGATTCAGTTTCGTGATTCGTTTCCCAAATGTCTAAACATAGAGGACACTCCACTGAGTGACACTGGCCCAGAGAAAGCGATCTGTGCATATCCAAACCAAATACTATGGGGTATTTTTTTAAGATTTTATTTATTTATTTGAGAGACAGAGAGAGAGAGAGAGCGCATGAGCAGGGGGGAGGGACAGAGGAAGAGGGAGAAGCAGACTCCCCACTGAGCAAGGAACCCAATGCGGGCTCCATCCCAGGACCCCGAGATCATGACCTGAGCCGAAGGCAGACGCTTAACCGACTGAGCCACCCAGGCGCCCCTACTATGGGGTATTTTTAAAATCTGTTCATATTATCTGGAATATCCAGTCGGAGAATCAGCTTTCATCAGATTCCTTGGATTATTACAGGTAGTCCAAGGCACTAATAAAAAAAGTGTGCTTAATGAAAAAATTTTGACATAAATGTATAAGGAATTTGATTAAGGATGTGAAAAGGGTGAAGAAAGAATATATTAATGTGCAATTTTAATACAATAAGGTATATATAAATATAGTGAATGAAGATAACTAGTTATAAGCATTAGAATGAAAACAATATTCACATGCAAGATCTAAATTGAGAGGCCTCTGGTTATTGTTTAAAGTATTATAATGCAGTAACTGAGTCTTTAGGATTCAGCTGATGCCTGCTTCACTCATAAAGACTTCTTTGAAAATCAGAAAAACCGAAACTGCTAAAATATGTTGATGTGTGTCATACACTTGCACTAAGAAATCCTTGTGTTTTAATCATTTTTTGGTTTTGCTTCCGATGTATAAAATGAATCCATTTTTATGAATAAGCCTTGCAAACTCTACAATTTACATTATAATATCCTGTGTAAGTAGTGTGAATCTGAAGTTTTATTCAGCTCACTTAGAAAAGTCTGATGATTCTCTAGGGCGTCCTTCTGAAGGATGTTCAATAAAAGAAAGTAAAGTGACAATGAGAAGATTTTACTCTGCATTCCTAATATTCTTCAAAGACCAAAGGAATGTTTAATGCATTCCCTGATTTCTAACACACCTTTTCTTTCCCCAGTGTTGGGCCATAATTTCAAACAAGTATTTAATTTGCCATCTTAGAATTTTAGGACAATGTGTTAGTGGTTGAATAACTTGAGGTTTTCAGATCTGATCTGATCTTATCCTTAAAAATAATTTCATGTGGATGCAAAACACATTTTTTAAATGTTTGAAGTTCTGTATTTTTAAGCCTCATATTATCATCACTGAGAACCCAGCTCCAGAGGGCTCATCATACTCTGCCTTTAAAGAAATAAATTAAGAAGAGAAGGAGAATATCAGTAAGCATTTTTATTTTCTGTTTAACAGCAAATCCATGTCCTGTTCCTTTTGTGATTCCCGAGAATGCTCTGCTTTCTGAAAAGGAGTTTTATGTTGATCAGAACGTGTCCATCAAGTGTAGGGAAGGCTTCCTGCTTCAAGGCCAAGGCATCATTACCTGTAACCCGGACGAGACGTGGACGCTGACAAGTGCCAAATGTGAAAGTAAGTAAATGGACAGGTGGATTCCAGCTCATTTCATTAGTGCAGAATGTTTTCTCATCCTTGTGAGATATTTTCAATCAAGTAACTTGAATGTAGATATTTATATCTCTGGTTTATTGTTATCAGCTTCTCTGTTGACAGTTTTTAAAATTAAAAAAAAAAAAAGGTCTTTGAATTCCAAACATAAAAAGAAAAAACTTTCCAGAAATAGGCTAAAACCTATCTGGCCAGGATTCACTGAACAGATTTTCAAAATACATTCTTCTAGGAATGAGCAAAATATTAAATCTAAAATATATTTTTTTCCCAGGGCACCTGGCTGGCTCAGTGGATAGAGCATGCAGCTCTTGATCTCAGGGTCATGAATTTCGAGCCCCAGGTTGAGCGTAGAGATTACTTTTAAAAAATTAAATAAAATACATACTTTACCATATTCTGAGAGTCCCCAAACTATCCTTTAACAGGCTATGGATGCTTTGCAATACAAAAATTATTCCACAGTGGTTCTCAAACTTGAACCACCTAGAAGACTTGTTTAAAACAGATTTCTGGGCCCCTCTCTGGAATGTCTGATTGAGTACTCTGGGGTGAGGCCTGAGAATGTGCATTTCAAACAAGTTCCCAGGTGTTGCTGCTGGAGATACTGGTCCTGGAACAACAGTTTGAGAACCTCTGGGCTAGCACCATGTTGATACGTAACACACAGTCAGACAGCATCTCTTGCTGCCTTGTGATAACTCTTGACATCTCTTCATACACACTTCCTGCACTTAAAACATCTCCCCTGCCCAACTTCCTACCCTCCGGCTCCCTTGTCTTCCAAGCTACTCCCTCTGTAGCAATCAATTAATAAATATTCATTGAGTCTAACCAGATGCAGGACATTGGGCTACATAGTCTAGGAACATATCATGCCTGCAATAACCATCTTCAGAACACTTGTACTCCAATTAAGAAGAAATGTGTGTGTGAAGGCCATGGGAATTGTGGAGTCAGAGAAGACCTGGGTTTGAATTCTGTCCTCAAAACTTTCTAAGTCTAAACTCATGCCAGTGCCCTTCTCTGAGCCTTAGGGCTCTCATGTGTCAATAACCCCAATAACACCTATCTTACAGGTTTGTTTTGAAGAATAAATGAATCGGTGTATTTATTTCAGCAACATCTCCTGATAGGAAGAAATACACCAATAGCCCAAGTGCCTGAATTTTCAACTAGTGGTCTACCACAGCATTAGAATTTTGATTTTACTCCAGGAAATATGTACTATACTTTTAGCCTTATAAAGTCTACTCCAAGTGAAATGGGAGAACTACGTATGTATAAGCTTTGACCACCAGCCTGAACTAAAGCAGGCCAAGTGGCCTGGTTCTGCACACGTATCCCCACGTTGGTCTCGGCTCCCTGAGACATACCACTCAGAGCACTGGAAGGCAGAGTAAGGAGAGACATGCACTCCGGTGCATGCTTCCTGATTCCTCCATATTCTAGAGAGGCTCAGGGGTTGCCTCGGAGAGAAGGAGACAGTTTCTACCCCTGTTTGCTATCCTCAATCCCTCTTTTGCATTTTTTATTAAACAGAAAGCCTCTGGCTTAGAAGAAAATCTCTTCCCTGAGGGACATGAGCAACAACTTACCTCGTTCTTTTCACCTCGTCCTGATAATTATCTTTATGAATCAGTGATTAAAATTTAGCATGTGTGGGAATCACCTAGGGAGCGTAGGTAAGATGCAGACTTACAAACTAGAAACTCCCGATATTTTCACTTCTAGCAAGAACCCAAGATGATTCCTGTATAGGTTGTCTGAAATTCGTTCTTTGGTCACTTCAGTAATCCAGCCATCAGCTCGCCATGATCTTTCTATCTGCCGCTCCCCCAGCCTGGAAGCTCTTTCCCTCTGATCTACTCAAGCTCTAGAGCCTAGTTAAATGCTGCTTTCACTGCAATTTGTACCCTGATAGTCCTAAGCATAATTAGTCACATTCACTTTGATTTTCCTATAGTAGAGTATCCAGGCCTGTACAACAGCTCTTTTTAAGTTGTCCATCATTCTGCTAGTTGTCTGAACAATGGGACCACATTTTCTTTATTGGTTTCTTTCCAGTTTCTGATCCACAGTAGGCATTAACACATATTTGATATCTAACTCACTGAATTAACGTTTGTAACCACCTTAGAAGGAGAAGAAGATTCAGAAAAAACATACACATTGTCATCCCCCCTGACAAGTTCTTAATAGTATTATGACCACAAAGTGACCTTTTAGAATTCATGGAGAGTCATCCAAAAGTTAGACTTATACAGACAGGATACTGATTGGAGTCCCAGCTCCAATCCAGTCCTTGTTTTGTGAGCCGCCCCAAAATAACTCTAGTTATCTCAAGGCTTCTCAAGGCAAAATTAGTTATAAAATTTTTTATTTAAATATACAGTACACGTCGCTTCTAAAAGAGAGGATTATCATTCAATTTCACGTATTTCAAAAGCAAAGAGTCACTGTGTTACCGTCTTGAAAAGAAGGAAACTGATGTGAAACCTTGAGACCTCAAATGTCATAAACCTCATCAAGGGGTGTAAACAGTATGGACAGGCCAGAGACAGTACTCATTTATTCATTTTTCAAACATGTCTTGATGGAATATACAGTAGTGCAATTCATGATCTTTACTCTAAAACAGTAGACTGCAAATAACCCCCATGCTTCTCCCTTTCTAATTTGATCGGCATCCTGCATGAACGTTCTCTTAGAAGCCGCCTCTTTGGCAATCCACAAAAGCTCATTCTTGGGCTCCTAGACACTTCTTGCCTGAGTAAAAAAAAAAAAAAGAAGAAGCTCAGCTTCAGCATTTGAATCGGAAGGCAAAACCTTTGATCCTGCACATCTCATTTTTCTAGACAGCAGCAGATTATGCTTTTAGTTCCTACTATCTTTTAGTTATTATACAGGTGAAAAGGTAACTTTATATATTTTATCTTTGCTCTTTAAATTAATTCAGTCTTTGAGAGGAGACTGTGTTCTCTTCCATCCACTGGCTGGATTGGTCGCACAGGCTTCATTGTGGTTTTGTTTTCCTGTAGAAATATCCTGTGGTCCACCAACTCATGTAGAAAACGCGATTGCTCGAGGCATACATTATCAGTATGGGGACATGATCACCTACTCGTGTTACAGTGGATACATGTTGGAGGGTTCCCTGAGGAGTGTTTGCCTAGAGAACGGAACCTGGACATCACCTCCTGTTTGCAGAGGTAAGGGAATCTTTGAACGGTTATTTCTCAGGGAAGCTGTAGGGAAATGCATATCAAAGTCTGATAAGGCCAACAGCTAGTATGCATGCTCTTTTACTTTTCCTTGGCTTTAAGTTTTCCCTTGACATCTATGTCATTTTCCTTAACTTTATGGGTTTGAGTTTTGAAAGCTTTCATACAGAACTGTGGCCCAGCACACGGCCCCTTCCTGAGTCAATCATGGCTCCTCAGTTCAAGTGTTCTCTCAGGGTGTTCTCCAGCTGCTAGGGGAGCTGTGTTAGGTGTGAGCCATGAGGGCACTTCTTGGACAGTCAAGTAGTTCCAGCAGATTCCAGTTCTACCCCCCATCCTGGGCAGACTCCTAGCCCTGCTGGAGATGGGGTAGCCCGTCTGGTGGGCAGAGTAAGACACAGGAGGTACTAGGCAGCCTTAGGGAGGTGGAGCCCACCCCAGGGTCTCCCTGGCCATGTTGGAGGCTGGTGACAGGCACTCCATCCATGCTCATATCAGCACTGCTGTCCCTTCACTTGCTGGATTGAATTTGCCAACCCCAGGATGAATTTTGCGTGTGAATTCAATAAAATCTCCTTGGGGGAACAAGGGAACAAGGTTCTGTGCTTAAAATTCTGCAACATTGAAAGAGGTAGATAACGAGGCATCCTAGTAGGTCCTACAACTTACACTTTTTTACAAACCATAATGATTGTTCCAGTCTACAAATACTTACTGAAAGTCAAGAGCTATGCTAGTGAACAAGGCAAACATAACCAAGGAACTAAAAGAAAAATCAAATTGCTGAGTAGGTTTTCCACATGGCCACATGGGCCATGGTCAGATTTGGATTTGGGGTGAAAAGGCCAGAGTCTTTAATGACCCGTTGGGGCTGAGAGAATTGAGGGAATCGATGAATGAATGGCATGAGCCTCAAGAGAGGCAAGGGAGATTGCAGGAGAAGGGAGATGAACTGTCTGAAGGCCAACAGTGAGAAACGAGATCCCTAACACGTGGGACGTAAGAGAATGAGAGGGCAGCGGAGGAGGTGACGTCCTCATAGAATAGCCCAGGCTCCACTTCAAATCAGAAGTTAAATGAGAGGTGTGTGTCTGCTGGCTGGCTTGTTTGTTCCTTCACGGGCTTGTTTTAAGACACCGAGTGACAGTGGCAGCACCAAAGAGCTATCGACCAGACCATCGAAGGGCCCCTTTGGAAGGGCACTCTCAGACCTTCTGAAAGAGGCACTTCCCCTGGTCCAGACCAAAAGAGATTACCTTTTGTCTAAACCACCTTGTCCCCTTCTGCCCTGAATCCCCAGATTACCAAAATTTTGAAAGCCATGTTCTCAGAACTACCCAAGTTGATTTATGCCCCTTTCCAAGAGCCCTCACGTCCCTGACTGAATCTTGAGTTTCAGTGTTGTTTCTCTTCTGTAAAGCTTGCCTCTAGGAAATGTTATGAAATGTAAATAAGGAATCCTATTTTCCAACAAATACCCTTCCATAATTCCCTGGGTTTATGATCCATCCTGCTTCTTTTCTAGCTGTCTGTCGATTCCCATGTCAGAATGGAGGTATCTGCCAACGCCCCAATGCTTGTTCCTGTCCAGATGGCTGGATGGGGCGCCTCTGTGAAGAACGTGAGTCTGTCCTCAAACCTTTCATGTTATGTCCTTAAATCTTACTTTGAGTCCTGATAATTTGCCTGGAAGCTGCCAACTCAGGGGACTGGCTTTACTGGTAGAAGGAATTTATTCGCTTAAATCCTGCAGCAGACCAGACAAGAGGGCCTAGAGTCGATCTGAATATGTCAATTAGTTGCAAAAGAGCTAGGATATAGGTGACCTTGAAAATATAGTGATCGTGATCCACCCAGAGCCATCTCCACATGCCTCCTGTCACAAATTCCCAAGAATCCTCTTGAGAAGGACCTTATAATAGAGGGTTTCCCAGCCTATGTCTTCCCTATCTCAAGTCCATTTATGTGCTGTGCCTCTCATTGCTGCAGTTGTGATAAATTCATGGTGTTGCATAACACCGTACTTTGTATGTAGTATTTGCAGCCCGCCATTCACTCTTTTTCATTAGGGGTAGTTCTTCCCAACAAAGAAAATAGGGAAAGTGGGCACTCCGGTATCTATACAATGTTTAGTAAATTAATATAGAATTTTGATCCTTATAAAAATACGTTTGAATTTGAACTTTCAGGAGAATGGAAATAAGTGGTTTTAAATGTTTTTTTTTTAATGTCTAAACTGGAGACATTTGTTCCAATATCTTAAATATATATATATGAGGATAAAATGATTTCATGTTTCATTGGGAGTGGTGTCTGTAAATCACATTAGGAGTCATTTGGGTGATGACCATTGGTCTGTATCAGTTTTCTTGAAGGCCAGACATGTTATAAGAGATTCTAAAACTGTTTTAAGTGTAACTATTGCAACTAATCTAGAAAGGAGAATATACAATGGAAATAAATTTGGCTGCTAACAACTCACCAAAGCAAGTATTCTCACAATGATTAAGAAAGAAGAGAAATTATGTCTTTCCTCCCTCTTCTCCCCGATCACTCCTTCCCATTTAGGGCTCCCAAACTTGACCTGCTATAATGCTAAGAGTCCAAAGACCAAGGAAACATTTACCCTGGGGGACCCTTACAGCAAGCCTAGCTGAGCTCACTGAGCATGTGCCTGTCCTCCTGCATTAGACCAAGGCTTCCCAAGCTTTAATGTGCATACAAACCATCTGCGAGATGTTAAATGCAGACTCTGATTTAGTAGTTCTGGGTTGGGACCTGAGATTCTGCATTTCTAGCCAGCTCCTAGGTAATGCCAGTGCTATTGGCTTGAGAACTGTGCTTTGAGTAGGAAGCCAAGAGACAATCTCCTTTTAAACAGACTGTTCCTCTTTAAAGAGCTCAGTAATTTCTAGGAAAAATGATTGTCATGGAGGGTGTAAGGGAGGCCTGATTCAGTCACCATCAGGCCTCTGCCCCAAGGAAATTCAAAGAGTGAGTTGTCCCATCACTGCTAATGTGTTGCCAAAACCAGCACAGGATAGCCCCTCTGACCCCATGCTTACATTTAATTCAGGACAGTAAGAGAGCCTCGAGACAGCCAAACCCTCTTGAGCACTTCATGTAATTTGAAAAGGAAATTTGAAATGATAATAAATGGAGAACATTCTGCTTATTCTGTGAAGAGAAAGCAAAGCACTTAGCAGACATTGATTACGGTATATCCTTTCTAGAAGAGTGCATTTGGCCCTAGAGTCATTTCATGAGGCTAAAGGCCCACCCTTACTTTCCTGATTGTGTTTACCAATTAATAAACAGAACACATCCAGGGAGACTATCCGGTGGGTCATTCAAGGTTTTCCTCTTCCTGGAAAACACTTGAACATATCTGAATGTGTATATTTTGATTAAATCCGTTTTTGGTCTCCTTTCTAGCAATATGCATTCTCCCCTGTTTGAATGGTGGTCGCTGTGTGGCCCCTTATCAGTGTGACTGCCCACCTGGCTGGACAGGGTCCCGCTGTCATACAGGTAGGTTTTTCTCTCGGGTTTGTTTTCTTGTGGATTTGGCTCTATGAGGCCGCTGAGGACAGTGGTGAGTGTGACTCAGATTCAGAGGTGGCAGGGAAACAAAAGGGTGCCAGAGCCTCTCAAGAATTCCTCAGGATGGTCTCTTGAATGATAGGCTCAATGCTGAAGTCTATGGCTGCATCAGAGGTACCTGTCAGGGTCGCAAACCAAAGAAGAGAATCTAAGTCAACTCAGTTGTCAGCCTCCTTCACGTCATCTGCTCTGCTTTGCAGTGTATCGAGAAGACGTGCAGAGGTTCAGAAGAATATTTATTTCCATCTCTATGAAACTGGATTACTAACTTCGTGGCAACTATTTAGAAAGAAAAGGCTCTAAATAAATACCATTTGAGTTAAATCAAAGGTTCTTCGTAGACAACAGTACCAAACTGTTGTTGATTGGTGACAAACACGTCCCCTTAACCACCCTTACCTATCTCAAATACGACATTTACTTTTCTATACTCTGAGGTCTTCATTGTTGGATCATCCAACTGTCCTTGCCTTCACTAGATTATGTGCCACTTGAGGGCAGGGATATCTCTTTGTGATCATTACATGCCCAGTACCTAGTATAGTGCCTGCCTATGATAGGTTTCTCATGTTGGAAAATGAATGTTTAAAATGACAGGTTTTAGCCTTTGTTAAAAAGTCTGACATTTTTAGGCAACAGTTAAAAGAATAGAACTTGCTGTATTGATCTGGTATTCTAACTCTCCACCATCCCTCCTGTAAACAATACTCATACCACCTCTGGCGGGGGGGAGGGGCGCTGAAACAAAAGCCAGAACAGGTGTGTTGGCACCAGAGCTTGTTATGAGCTCTAAGGCTGGGTGGCCATGGAACTTAGCTTTCAAACTCGGACATTTTTGAGAGCGGAAGGGGTACTGTTGATAAGTAAACTAAGGAAATGGGAGTGACATGTACTGTCACCGCAAAATCAGATGTGTCGGCCCCCTACCGGAAGCCGGAACAGCCATCCGTGAATGTAGAAAAGGAAAAATCTACTGGAGGTTAAATGCGAAGCTTTTATTTGAAAATCTAAAAGCAATCTATAGAGCATTTGTTTGTAACAAATCAACTTAGAGGTTTTATCTGCATTTCCAAATTGAAGTCATGTGCAAATGCTTCGGGCCATTTCCCAGCCATCTTACTTTGCAGGTGGTGGTCCCACTCTTCCAGGTGGAGGCATCCTTGATTCTCCTACTCCTTCTGCTGAGATTCCCAGTATCAGCACCTTTCTGCTTCTCTCTGCACAGTACCTCCTCCATCCTACTCTGTCCCCACTGTCACCAGCTAGTAAAAGATCTCTTCTTGGAGTCACCCTCAGAGTCTACTGGTTGATCATCCTGTCCCTCCACTTCCAAGCTAAACATCATTATGTACGCCTTTCGGTGTATCTTTTTGCCCTATTTCAGAACCTAAAATGGTACCCTATTGTCTCCACATCCAGCCCAAATTTTTCGGCACAAATACTTCTGACTTCCAAGGCTCTGCGTAGACAGGCTTTAGCACACCTGGTAAAACTCAACTTCATCCAACCCATCACACACTGTTCCCTGCTATGATGGCTTCCTTGTTATCCCCATCGCTCAGCACAGGCTCATGGTTTCCCTCTTTCCCCTACCTCTTCAAACCTTATCCAACCTCAAAAGCCCTGCCTAAGTTTCCTCTTATCTCCAAACTTGCTTTATACCACAAGAATCTATTTCCTAACATCCCATTTCTATAGATACGACACAATTAGGTACAATCTCCATTGATCTGATTTTTCTGTACTTCTTTTAGCTCCTTGGCTCCCTAACTAGCGTAAGCTCCCTAATGACACTGAGCCACATAGTGTTCCTTTCTTGGAGCAGCTTCCTCAGCACATATCCTGCTCACATGTCCTACACACTAAGCATACAACAGCGTAGGAAACAGGAGCTCCTGCCCTCCCGAATTTAACCTAGAAAAACAGGAAGGATGCAGAATGGCCTATAAGTGGATAACTGCAGGCTAATTGAATTCTCTGGAAAGGGTTATGACGACAGTGAAGACGGGTACACTACCCAAGTGCAGACATTCAGGAGTCTTCATAAGCATAGACTCAAGAAGAACAAGAGTAGTCACCAGGAGAAAGAGCATTCTAGTCAAAAGCATGGAAGCATAACACAGGTGTGTTCAGCATAGTAGAACTGAAGCTGTAGAGGGAATGTAGAGGTGTGACTGGAAATGAAGCTGCAGAGAGGGGCAGAGCCAGAGGAGGAAATGCATTGTATGCCGAGTTCAAGATGCTGGATTATGTCCTATGAGCAACGGAAGCCTCTGAAGGGTTTTAAGCAGGAAAGTCACGTGATGAGATTTTCTTTTAGAAAAGTGATTTTGGCAGCAGTATGGAAAATGAAGACTTAACAATTGGGAGTCCACTTAGGCAGTTAACAAAGCAGAATTGGCAAGATGTAATGAAGTCTGGAAAAATGATAACTGAAAAGGGTGGATTTGAGAGAAGTTAGGGAGGTGTGTCACTACTTGGTTATAGATTTGTTGTGGGAGTAAAAGTCTGAGATGAATCAAGACTGATACATGTTTTGGGCCCCTGAGGGGAAGGTACTGCCGTTTACTGAGATAGAAAACCCAGGAGGAGCAGGTCTGAAGGTACAGATGAGGAGTTAAGCATGCACATGCTGAGTTCGAGGAGCCTGTGAAACATACCAGGGAGAGCTCTGATCAGCAGCTGAATGATGGTTTGGGTTCCCAGAAGATACACCTAGATTGAAGATAGCAGTATGTAAGTCATCGCTGGAAGACATTCATGGAGAAAAACATAAGACTGTACAGAAGGCCCATCACGTGAGAAGGTAGCCCAAAATGGAACACTGGGGGCATCCCTGTTATAGGGAAGGAGGAAAGTGTTAAGCTATTAGGCAAGGAAGTAAAATGAATTTGTTAGTACAGTCAGAAACCACTAAATCATCATGCTATTGAAAAGGAGTGGGGCGCCTGGATCGCTCAGTCAGTTGAGCGTCCGACTCTTGATTTCGGCTCAGGTCATAATCTCAGGGTTTTAAGATCCAACCCCACATCGAGCTCCACGCTCAGCATGGAGTCTGCTTGAGATACTTTCTCCCTTTCCCTCTGTCCCTCCCCCCACTCATGTGTGCTCTCTGTCTCTAAAATTAGCAAATAAATCTTTAAAAATAAAAGGAAGGAACAGGAGTTATTTTTTTATTAGTAAGCAGAATCTATGGAGAGTTAGTTTTCAATGATTGGGTTTTATTTTTGCTATTTTTAATCCTGCTTTGTTTCATAGTTTCCTCTTTATTATGTGGCAGATACATGCATTCTGTTGGCCCACTCCTACTCTTTAACTCCCCACGAGAGCTCCCCAAGGATGAAGACAGGGTTTTTTATTTGTCCTCTCTCCTCCCGCCCAGTGCTTGCTTATCAAGTTGGATGAATGATTAAAGAAATGACATTTATTTATATCTCACCAAAGATGAGTTTTTCATCCTGGAAAGCCTACTTTTCCATGCTATAATGAGGCTGAAACATTTCTCACTTCCAGCCTTCTTTCAACAGGAATTTTACTTTCTTCCTTGAGGAAGTTCCCCTTTTTCTTTGTTTTGTTAAACTTGTGGGTGTCAGTTCCTCATCAGTTTTTAGCATCCATAAGTTTTTTACAAGTAGATACATGCAATTGAAGAGTGTGGTTATGATGCAGTGGATTTGTGAGAAAGTAAATCTTTAGGTATTCATTCCCTCAGGGTTTTATCTGTGGCTAATTTTTAATTCTGTTCCAGGTTCTGTAATTCCAGCTAAAGATGGTAAAAGCCATGAAATGTGTTTTCTAGCAAATACAAAGAACTTGTGAATCATCTGCTATTTTTGTTTATTTGTTTGTTTTGCTTTTTGTTATTTTAGATTCTGTGTCTGATTGATTGTCTTAAGAGTTGGTGTCTGGTGTCTAGAATTCACTGCTAGCTCTCTCAAGTGATATATAGTCTAACTGAGCATAGGAAAAATTTGCAGTTCAAAAGTGTGTATGTCAGATTGGTTGCATAAAGAACAAATGAGAAAAATCAGTGGATTTAATGTTATCAGCAAAGGTTTTAATACACAGGTGTAGGACTTAACCTGGAGCTTAAATATGAGAATTGCCTGGCTTGGGGGGAAAAAGGGAGTGGGTGGGTGGTGTCACATAATGACATGAGGTCAAACAAAGTGGCAGAAATGTGTAATGCAAATAGTGGGTGGGGAATGGCAGTGGTTAGAGCGGAAAACAGAGTCAGATCTTATTCTACGTGCCTTCGTTGAATGTCTTCCGACTTGCTAAGTATTAATTAAATAAATGCGTGAATTTTTCATTCCAGCTGTTTGCCAGTCTCCCTGCTTAAATGGTGGAAAATGCATAAGACCAAATCGATGTCACTGTCTCTCGGCTTGGACAGGCCATGACTGCTCCAGGTAAGGCAATCAGAAATGAGTGTTTATCTACAACATAAAGAGGTCAAAATTCACGGGACATTTGTCCCAAGAGCCAGAAGATATCTCTAGTTTAAGGATAAGCTTTTTACATTCAAAACTGTCCATTTTCAGATGCTCTCTAAATTTGAACTGGAGCCAACACAAAGAAATATTAGTTAAGAATTGACAAAACAGTATCTCAAAAATAAATAATCTTGTGCTCACTTTGGCAGCATGTAAACTAAAATTGGAATAATTCAGAGAAGGTTAGCATGGCCCGTTTAAAAGGATGACATGCAAACTCATGAAACATTCCATATTTTTCCACCAAAAAAAAAGAAAAAGGGTTAATTAAACAAATAAATTAACTGCCCTTTTGAACAGAAGATTGCATCATTCATATGTAAGGATGTAAAATAAATAATAAACTCAATACATCGTATTGATGTTCACTTGCATTCCTGATTACAGTAAAAAATGGTATTGAGATTGATAAGAAATGTTTGTTTTTAAAGTCAAAAATCTTGTTTCATATTTCTAGTGTATGTATATGCAGTATTTAATTGACTAAAAAAATTATGTAAAAATATGTCTGCCAATTGGTTTCTCATTTCTTTTTTTTTTTTAAGATTTTATTTATTTATTTGACAGAGAGACACAGTGAGAGAGGGAACACAAGCAGGGGGAGTGGGAGAGGGAGAAGCAGGCTTCCTGCCGAGCAGGGAGCCGGACACGGGGCTCGATCCCAGGAGCCTGGGATCATGACCTGAGCCGAAGGCAGACGTTTAACAACGGAGCCACCCAGGCACCCCTGGTTTCTCATTTCTAAACAGATAAATATCGTAGTTGAGAAAAGATTATCACAAAAATAAGTCTAAGGGAAAATAGTTAAAAATAATTTAAACTTTTTTTTTACTGAAGTATAATTGATATCCATTAAATTAGTTTCAGGTATACAACATAATGATTTGATATTTGTGTCTATATTGCAAAATGATTATTACAATAGATCTAGTTAGCATCCATCACCACACAGTTATAAAATGTTTTTCTCCTGGTAAGAACTTTTAAGATTTACTATCTTAGCAACTTTCAAATATGCAATACAGTGTCATTAACTACAGTCACCATGCTGTATATGACATCCCCATGACTTATTTATTTTATAACTGGAAGTTTGGATGGAAGGGCCATCCATGTTGTTGTAAATGGCAAGATTACATTTTTTTATGGCTGAATAGTATTTCTGTGTGTGTGTGTGTGTGTGTATCACATTTTCTTTATTCATCCATCAGTGGACACTTAGGTTGTTTTCAGATCTTGGCTATTGTAAATCATGCTGCAATGAACATGGTGGCACATATATCTTTTCGAGTTAGTAGTTTCATTTTCTTCAGATAAATACCCAGAAGTAGAAGTAGAATTGCTGGGTTGTATGGCAGTTTTATTTTTAATTTTTAATTTTTAGAGCAACCTCCATACCATTTTGCACAGTGGCTGCACCAATTCCCATTCCCACCAACGGTGAATTAGTGTTCTCTTTTCTCCACATTCTTGCTGCATCTTGTTCTTTCTTGTCTTTTTGATAATAGCCATTCCAACAGGTGTGAGGTGATACCTCATTGTGGTGTTGATCTGCATTCCCCTGATGATTGAGGATCTTGGCATCTTTTCATGTACCCGTTGGCCTTCTATATGTCATCTTCGGAAAAATGTCTATTCAAATCCTCTGCCTGTTTTTTAATCTAATTGTTTGCGTTGTGTTTTGGTTTGGGGGTTTTTGTTTTGTTTTGTTTTGTATTTTGGGGGTTTTTTCGCTATTGGGTTGTATAAGCTCTTTCTATATTTTGGATAGTAATCTCTTATGAGATATATGATCCCATTCAGTAGGTTGCCTTTTCATCTTGTTGATGGTTTCCTTTGCTGTGCAGGTTAGTTTGATGTAGACCCACTTGTTGATTTTTGCTTTTGTTGCCTTTGCTTTTGCTGTCAAATCCAAAAAACTCATCACCAAGACCAATGTCAAGGAGCTTGCCACCTATGCTTTCTTCTAGGAGTTTTATGGTTTCAGCTCTTATATTCAAGCCTTTAATCCATTTTGGGTTAATTTTTATGTATGATTAAGAAAGTGGTCCAGTTTCATCCTTTTGCATGTGGCTGTCCAGTTTTCCCAAGACGTTTGTTGAAGAGATTGTTCTTTCCTCAGTGTATATTCTTGGCTCCTTTGTCATAAATTAATTGACCATCTATGCATGGGTTTATTCCTAGGCTCTTTATTCTGTTTCACTGATCTATGTATCTGTTTTTATGCCAACACCATACTGTTTTGATTACCATAGCTTTGTAATATAGGTTGAAATCAGAGAACATGATGCGTCTAGCTTCGTTCTTCTTTCTCAAGATTTAAGCTTTTTTAAACCTCAGGAAATGTCAGACACACTACATCATGCAGTGGATAAAATATTTTCAATATTATAGCACTATCCTCACAAATGTTGAAATGTTGGAATATTACCAGCTCTATTTTAAGACTTTCAATATATATTATTGTATTACATCACTTAGATTTGTATTATGTATATTTACTTCCATCTTACAGTAATCATTAAAAACAAATGGATATTTTCATATTCACCTTAAAAAGTGGGAAACTCAGTTAACTGAAAACAACTCTAATTTTTCCATTTCCTTTTATTTCATCATGATTAGAATATCAGAGTCAACTTGCAAAGACAAAAATTTAAGTACAAACTTCATTTAAAAACATCAGTCTTGTGCCAATGAATTTCTTCATATCATCCAAAGTATATGCCATCTTTGCAAAGAGAAAAAATAAATTAAACCCCAAAGAGCAAAGTTGGATTGTATATGTAGAAGCTTCCAAGATAAAAATGATAGTTTTACCTGAGAGCAGAGTTGAAAGAATTTAAGAAAATGAAAATCAAACTGGAATGGGTTTCTGGGGAAAAAAGAAAAGAAGAGAGAGAGAGAGGGGGAAAAAAAAGATAAATAAGAATGGCAGTGACTCAAAAAGGAACAGGAAGTATTTATAACATCCTTATAATCTTAGACTTTCTATTTCAACTCCTTCATCTTATAAATAAGAAAAGGACACCCAGAGTTGTTTGTGTGGTTCCCTAATATCAAAATACGATATAAGAGCTCTTTCTCAACTAGGGGAAGGATAATTAGTAGCTTCTTGAAAATACTGTCTATTAATAAAGAAAACAAAATCTAGATATTCTTATGCAGAAGTTTAATAAAGGAATCCAAATGTATATGTTCAGCAAAATAAGCTCCGAGGCATATCCCATATTCAAGGGAAGGTCATCTTCCACCCAGAAGACTGGGCCAGCCCCTGCCTCCTTCTACTGTCATCGATTGTTCTAGGAGCAACATATTAGTAAGGACTGTCTTACCACAACTCTAACTAGCTTCATTAAAGAAAGGAATATGTTGTCACAATAGAAGGACCTTGCATAGAACCCAAAGACATGAGGTGGCTAAGCATTAGTAGGACCAGACTGAGGACTGGAAAGCCATGCAAAGCCTCTCCACCTCCTGTCTCCCTTCCTCTCTCCAGTGCCCGCTCCATCCTCTACAGTGTGGTTTTCTCTGCTGTTCAGTTCAAGTGGAAGGACAGAACTGCTTACAGCGTCTACATTTTACATGTCACACCACAGCATCCACAGAAATAGTGTGCTGACCCAGTTTAAAAATCTTAAAAATTGAAGGGCCCACCATGTATCAGTGAACTGTGGTCCTAGGTTGAGTTATGTTGTACTAATGTGAAGAGTCATTTTGTCAAGATCTTTACCTTACTTTTGGGGTAAAGGGGAGAGGAGGCTGGCAATTCCCAGAAGAAAGAACCATGTAGTATGATTCCCCTGAAATGGGAAGAGGAGAAAGCTTTTCTGAGAAATCAAAACAGTAAATGTTTCCAGACATTTTTTTTTAATTTCCTACTCTCCCGCAAGATTGAGTGCCTTGAAGATTGTATCCCTCGTACTTAGTCCAGACACAGAAACAGATGCTCAGTAAAGCTTGTTCACAGATGGAGCCGTGTCCAGGCATCAGTGACAGCTGGTGGAGAAACACCCCTGTGGTATCCATTAAATCCCTCAACCTATAACCTTCTCTGCTGATGACTAAGACAGACCCGGTATTATTCCCAGTTAGTTCCGTCCTGAAGAAAGGGAGTATGTTTCCTCTGATCTCTATGTGCATCTTCAGAAAATTGATCCTAAATAAATGGCATAAATAAAAACCATAAACTGTTAATGCTGTAAGGGACCTTCAGGTTCACAAAGTCCAAACTCATTGTTTTACAGATAAGAGGATTATCAGACGGGAGACTGGCGACAGAGCCAGGATCAAAACTCAAGTTTCTGCTGATTCTCAGATCTTTTCGTAAGGTTGGCACGTGTTCTCTCAAGGAATGACCCCCAACCGTACAAACAATGTCACGGAGGATGCCCAGGCGTCTGAGACTTTCAGTCCTGTTTTCATCAGCCCCTAAGCTTTTACCTCTTCACTTCAGTTCTTCTGTTGAATCTCTTTGTTTTTTGTTCCAGGAAAAGGAGGCCTGGGTTTTAACCACTGCACAACCAACCAGCTCTCCTAAAAGCAGGATCATCTCTTCCTGGTAGTCCTGGGCATCCTGGAACTTATGCAAAGAAATTCCAACACGGTGCTGGGTCTTGTTTTGTTTCGTAAACTTGTTATTTGGGGATTACCTTTGTATTTTGTGTTCCATTTTGTTATTCCTTGTGACATACTTTCTTACATGTTTCCATTTTTAAATATGCTTGTATTTTCTATATAAAAGTATATTAAATAGATGCTGCTCCACTCACAAAATGTATATACTCTGCTGTCTACTGGGGAAGTTCCTGCTATACATTTTTATTCGGTTTACTTAAAATGATTTTTCAATTAAAATCTATTTTGCTATTAAATAACATTTGGCTGGATTAGTGCCATTTTGTGAGATGTCCCGGAAACAATGATGAGGATAATGATCTTTCATCTGTGCTGCTGGGACAATACAGGATCACATGCAGTGTACTGAGAAAGCACAGTAAAGGAGGCCCCTCATTCTAGCTCCATCTTCTTTACAGTATGTGGAACAATAAAGGTTTCCTTTTATTGAATCAGTGGGTAACTACTGGACCTTACCACCCGCCACCCAGAATGCTGCGCTGATGCTGAGGCGTAGCCTGGCTAATTCCTTCCCCAGTGTGTGGAAAGCTATAGGCATTCAACTTAGTGGATGGAGGAAAAAAGTATGGTCATGGCTCACAAAACAAAGTGGTTCCCTTCCTTCTCACAGCTGGAATAAGAAATGCAAGAACTGGAAGATGAACAGAGAGCCCACTACTGGGTCATAATCCCACAACTCACTGCTTTGGGAGATAGGAAGAGCAGGACAGAGAAAGGGAAGGAAAAAGGCAAATGGAAGAAATTCCCCAAAACTGTGCTCCTGGTCTCACTTGCAAAAAAGAATTGCTGTCCAAAGCAGAGCTGAGCTTCCCCCTCAATCCCCACTCACTCCATCACTGTACTTCTGCCAGGATAAAGACTTCCCCAGACTTCTGGAAAATAAAGCCAAACACTAGACTTTGTTTCAAATAGGAAAATCACAATCAACTCACCTTCATCCTGGGAGAAATGCTCCCAAATAGGGCATGGGGTGCATTGTAACACTATGAAGAGGTGCAGGAACAATGAAAAAGATCTTGATTGTCCTAGTGGTTCTCTCCACTGCCCTACACACCTCAGCTGTTGACTTCTTCTTTCTCCTGACATTCTCTCTTGACCAATTTTACATGCTTATCAGTATACCTTTTATTTAGCTTATTGATGTCCCATCAACTTCCAAACTATGTTGATCTTCATCATTTTATAATCATAAAACTATAAAATGAAAGCCAAGTAATAAAAAGAAGGATGGCACCGGAAAATAGAAGCTAGGGAAAGCTACTGCATTTGAAAACAAAACTCAGCTCTGAAAGTGTACCTACTAAGTGCAATTTGTATTGGGTTACTTTGAATAGGTGAAAAGATCTTTATTTCATAGTAAGTTAAATTATTTTTGTTATGTAGACAGTACAGTGAAGTAAAGCATCATGCAAATGAGGTTTGCAAATAATATTTCATATCTAGAAATGTGCATAGAAAGAAATTTGCCAAACTTTATTAGTAATGATTTTCCCCAAGACATGGAACATTGGGAAACTTTTACCTCTTATCCAGATTTCCCCTTTATTTCTGACTTTCTTTTTTTTTAAACATGCAGAGAATTTTTATTTATTATGTATGTTAATACTTATATTTATTTAAAGAACAGAGTCACAGAAGTGCAGGCCAGGTATTAGGGTTCAAGGAGCAACAGCGATGAAATATATTATCCCTGCATAATGGCTACAGTTTCTGCCTTATTTTGAATGAAAATATATTACTTTTGTATTCATAAGTGTACTTTCATATTCACCAAAAGTAATCTTAAATTCATAAAAATTAATGGAAGTGTAAAAGCCCCACACTAAAAGGTCATCTTTCTGTCTACCCTAATTAATCTGGCATATGCATTGGCATCAGTAAGTTGAAAGATCTTGCCTCCGTATCGTTTTGTTTAAACACTTCCTCAGGAATCTTTAGAGAAGAATTCAGATCAAGGTGATCTTTAGGTTAATATAAAGATGGAAACTGCTACCAAGAGCAATATCCATAAATTTGGAGCTACGTGTCTACACAGGAGAAAAATATTTGCTGATGATCAAATTAAAGGATTTAACAAGTTAATTATTGAGACTGGCAGTGTATTTTTACAGTATGTCCTTGTGTTTCCTGCCCCAGGTGAGTGCATGAGTCTGGCATAACATTGCAAATTTACTGGCCAGATTACATCAGAATTACTTTCTTATGCTTCCTTAACAACTAACATAGAGACAGCAATACTCTTCTTTCTTTTTTTTTTTTTTTTAAGGGCTTACACCTAATTTCTCATGTTTCGCTCCTAACTCTGACCTTAAGGCAGTGATAACAACTTCAGACTTCCATTTTTTTCCCCTAATGATCTTACAGACCGGCCATTCCAGGTAACCTGGGCCCAAAATGTAGACTTGGATAGCACCTGAATGAAATGGACTGTTTTGAAAGTAATGGAAAGCTGCAAATGTTTTGTAAGGGCCATGTGTCAGCGTGTTCCTCGCTGCAGTCATCAGCGGGCAAAGCCGCTTAAAGTATATGCTTTCCCCGCGAACGTCGCTGGGCCGTTGGGTTTTGTGAATGAAGCCACACTACGTTAAAGAGACCCACACAGAGCTCCGCTGTTCGGGTGTCTGTAAGAGTTACAGTACAGACTGCTGTCCTGTACTGGGCAGGGGAGAGATGCTGATCACAGCCACCCCTCATAGAATTCTGGTGTGTTCCCTCCACCCTCATGAGTCCCGACCTGTCTAATTACACGCCTGATCCTCACCCTTCTGAATCACTGAGATTCCTCCTTCCATTATGTCCACTGGATCTTTTACTTTCCCAGCAGAGTGCTTCAAGCTAGTTTATGCTTCTGTAAGTTCAAGTGTATCCGATCAGCAAAGGCAATAAAGAGTGTGAACTGACAAACTAGAAAAACCTGAAAGAATGGATTAAGGTGAAGACCACAAAAAAGAAGCAAAAACGAGGTGCATGCATTTCTCAGTTATACCACATTCTTCAAAAGAGCTGTTGTTGAGACTCTATGAAGTCTATAATTAGAGGGGAAATATTTCCAAACTCTTTTTTGCACACCTTAGAGTTGGCATGCTGCGTTGTCATTTAAAATGTATTTTCTCGTAGGCTGTCTCAAAACGTGTGAGGATTGGATGCCTTGTATCAACCAATGGCTGAGTAAATGTTTGCGTCCCTCCCTCTTCTTAGCCCTTCCCCAACCCTTCTTGGCTAATTCTGCAAAGCTCCCTCTTAACCCTAGGAAAACTGACGTACAGAGAAGCGATACCTACAAGATCTAGAAATGACTAGCCAACACCTGAAGTCCAAGGCTAGGGTCCAGAGTACTCGGCCACAGCGCTTTCTAGACAACAAACCTTAGCTAGAATATGGCTGGTATTTTCAACCCCAAATAAGCTTTGTAACTCTGGTAGTTTATTATGACAGCCTATGTTTCTGGTGTTTGCAAAAGAAAATGTTCCTAATCACAAAGCAGCCTTGGTTTTTGTTAGAGTCCCACCAAATAACTCTAGGCTATGTTTAAAGGGCAGCCCAAAATGTTCCATAAGTCATAATTGCCACATTGAGACTTCATGATGAATGGCTTCAGGTCTCTGAATGCCCATGTTGTCATCTCCAGGCCTTTGCCCAAGTCATTCCCTTTACCTGTGTCATGTTCTCTACTCCCAGTTCGGACCTAACCCCACCAGGGTAGTCACTGTCTCCCATACTGTTCTTTCTACCATTTGTTCTTGGGTTCTCAGATGCTGTTGACTTTGCTCTCAACCCCATTGCCTCCACCCCAAGGTCAACTTCACAGGACACAGGGAGAGTGAGTTCTGCCCTTTCTCATTCCAGTGTCCCCTGAAATGAGTGTAATGTGTAATCCCAGCCTCTTTTATTTCCTGACCCCACATTCTGTCCAGGCAACCGGGCTAGACTGGAGGAAACATTACAATACCGAAAACCAAGCTCTTCAGAGGAAATACAGACATTAGCCCCAGTGCAATGTTGCCCATCCTCTAGACAGGTGAATGAAACATTCTATGGATCTTATGGATTTGATGCCTTGATGGCCCCGAACCTCTTCCACTAAAGAAGGAACAACACTGAGATAACTGCACAGCCAAGCACTAGAACTGGAATTGAAGAGCACTCTAATCCTTGGCCCATTGTTGTGGCTTGCTATCAAGTTGCCAAGACAATCAATTTTCCTGTACCCTACCGCCCAGTGGCCCTGCTACCAACACAGCACAAGTGACTCTCCTCCACTTAGTTCCGCTGGCTTGGTGTTCATCATTCTGACCCAGGTATTAGAATAAGGCCCTAAGGATTAATGAAGTCTTGGCCAGAGTCGCCTGACCACATCCCCAGATATAACAGTGTCCAGGTAGCAATTAAAATTAGACTTTAACATAAACCACAATATTCAGCAGAGTTAGGGTATTTAACATGTTTCATTCATCCAAAGTATTAACATCTCTAAGATGGAAATGCATCTTACAATGGCATGGCATAATACAATTGGCAGTTTAATGGTATATCTCACCATCATGGTATCTCAGATTTAATATGAAGCAATCAAATGACATCTTCGGTGCCCGACCCTATATTAATATAATATTTGACACATGGAAATTTACAGCCTTAGGTGAATTGCTGGCCTGCGGTGCTGGAGGTGCTTTCTGGATCTGTGGAAAGCCTTTTGAGTCTCTGTGTCCTTTAAACTCTGCTATTGCTAATAGAAAATAAACATCAAGATAAAGGAAGAACATACGAGTTCTTTGAAAAAGATTCTTTCCTAAACATCATTGGTTTTGATTGTATGAGTCACTGCGGAATGCCTCTCCAAATCCTGACCCTCCCCCTTGATTCTGTTGGTTTTCCTAGTAAGTGAGTGGAGACAATGGGAAAAAAGGAGTTGGCTAAATCCAGCTGCTTTCCTCCCTAAGGTGCCTCATAACAGAATCATTCCCTTTCACACACGTAAACTACCTGCTCCACCCATCTTCAGCCTTGTCATCGAGTTCCCTGGTGAGTCACATAAACACACACTGGAGGGCTTGTCTTTTTGGCAGTGGTGTCTGGACTACACCCCTGCACCGTGACTTGGTCTCCCATCTTCGCATCGCTGATATGATCACATATCTCTTTTCTCCTGGTGTGCTGACCTTCAGTTTCATATTCCTGTCTTCCAGAAAATATATAGGCCTTTTTTCCAAATCAGCTTTTGCAGTAGCAGGTCACAACT